TCACGCTATGCCCTTGTTCTTGCTATTTTGCACACGCTAGGCCCTTGTTCTTGCTATTTTGTAGACGCTAGGCCCTTGTTCTTGCAATTTTGCACACGCTAGGCGCTTGTTCTTGCAATTTTGCACACTCTAGGCCCTTGTTCTTGCTATTTTGCACACGCTAGACCCTTGTTCTTGCAATTTTGCACATGCTAGACCCTTGTTCTTGCAATTTTGCACATGCTAGGCCCTTGTTCTTGCAATTTTGAACACGCTAGGCCCTTGTTCTTGCAATTTTGCACACGCTAGGCCCTTGTTCTTGCTATTTTGCACACGCTAGACCCTTGTTTTTGCAATTTTGCACACGATAGACCCTTGTTCTTGCAATTTTGCACACGTTATGCCTTTGTTCTTGCTTTTTTGCACTTGCTAGGCCCTTGTTCTTGCAATTTTGCACACAGTAGGTCATTGATCTTGCTATTTTGCACACGCTAAACCCTTGTTCTTGCAATTTTGCACACGCTATGCTCTTGTTCTTGCTATTTTGCATACGCTAGGCCCTTGTTCTTGCAATTTTGCACACGCTAGGCCATTGTTCTTGCAATTTTGCACACGCTAGACCCTTGTTCTTGCAATTTTGCACACGCTAGGCCCTTGTTCTTGCTATTTTGCACACGCTAGGTCCTTGTTCTTGCAATTTTGCACACGCTAGGCCCTTGTTTTTGCAATTTTGCACACGATAGACCCTTGTTCTTGCAATTTTGCACACGTTACGCTATTGTTCTTGCTATTTTGCACACGCTAGGCCCTTGTTCTTGCTATTTTGCAGACGCTAGGCCCTTGTTCTTGCAATTTTGCACACGCTAGGCGCTTGTTCTTGCAATTTTGCACACTCTAGGCCCTTGTTCTTGCTATTTTGCACACGCTACACCCTTGTTCTTGCAATTTTGCACATGCTAGGCCCTTGTTCTTGCAATTTCGCACACGCTGGGCCCTTGTTCTTGCAATTTTGAACACGCTAGGCCCTTGTTCTTGCAATTTTGCACACGCTAGGCCCTTGTTCTTGCTATTTTGCACACGCTAGACCCTTGTTTTTGCAATTTTGCACACGATAGACCCTTGTTCTTGCAATTTTGCACACGTTATGCCTTTGTTCTTGCTTTTTTGCACTTGCTAGGCCCTTGTTCTTGCAATTTTGCACACAGTAGGTCATTGATCTTGCTATTTTGCACACGCTAAACCCTTCTTCTTGCAATTTTGCACACGCTATGCTCTTGTTCTTGCTATTTTGCATACGCTAGGCCCTTGTTCTTGCAATTTTGCACACGCTAGACCCTTGTTCTTGCAATTTTGCACACGCTAGGCCCTTGTTCTTGCTATTTTGCACACGCTAGGTCCTTGTTCTTGCAATTTTGCACACGCTAGGCCCTTGTTCTTGCAATTTTGCACACGCTAGGCCCTTGTTCTTGCTATTTTGCACATGCTAGACTCTTGTTCTTGCAATTTTGCATACGCTATGCCCTTGTTCTTGCTATTTTGCACACGCTAGGCCCTTGTTCTTGCTATTTTGCACACGCTAGGCCCTTGTTCTTGCAATTTTGCACACGCTAGGGCCTTGTTCTTGCTATTTTGCACACGCTAGACCTTTGGTTTTGCAATTTTGCACATGTTAGACCCTTGTTCTTGCAATTTTGCACACGTTATGCCTTTGTTTTTGCTATTTTGTACATGTTAGGCCCTTGTTCTTGGAAGTTTGCACACAGTAGGTCATTGTTCTTGCTATTTTGCACACGCTAGACCCTTGTTCTAGCAATTTTGCTCACGCTATGCCCTTGTTCTTGCTATTTTGCACACGCTAGGCCCTTGTTCTTGCTATTTTGCAGACGCTAGGCCCTTGTTCTTGCAATTTTGCACACGCTAGGCGCTTGTTCTTGCAATTTTGCACACGCTAGACCCTTGTTCTTGCAATTTTGCACATGCTAGGCCCTTGTTCTTGCAATTTCGCACACGCTAGGCCCTTGTTCTTGCAATTTTGAACACGCTAGGCCCTTGTTCTTGCAATTTTGCACACGCTAGGCCCTTGTTCTTGCTATTTTGCACACGCTAGACCCTTGTTTTTGCAATTTTGCACACGATAGACCCTTGTTCTTGCAATTTTGCACACGTTATGCCTTTGTTCTTGCTTTTTTGCACTTGCTAGGCCCTTGTTCTTGCAATTTTGCACACAGTAGGTCATTGATCTTGCTATTTTGCACACGCTAAACCCTTGTTCTTGCAATTTTGCACACGCTATGCTCTTGTTCTTGCTATTTTGCATACGCTAGGCCCTTGTTCTTGCAATTTTGCACACGCTAGGCCATTGTTCTTGCAATTTTGCACACGCTTGATCCGTGTTCTTGCAATTTTGCACACGCTAGGCCCTTGTTCTTGCTATTTTGCACACGCTAGGTCCTTGTTCTTGCAATTTTGCACACGCTAGGCCCTTGTTCTTGCAATTTTGCACACGCTAGGCCCTTGTTCTTGCTATTTTGCACATGCTAGACTCTTGTTCTTGCAATTTTGCATACGCTATGCCCTTGTTCTTGCTATTTTGCACACGCTAGGCACTAGTTCTTGCTATTTTGCACACGCTAGGCCCTTGTTCTTGCAATTTTGCACACGCTAGGCCCTTGTTCTTGCTATTTTGCACACGCTAGACCCTTGTTCTTGCAATTTTGCACATGCTAGGCCCTTGTTCCTGCAATTTCGCACACGCTAGGCCCTTGTTCTTGCAATTTTGAACACGCTAGGCCCTTGTTCTTGCAATTTTGCACACGCTAGGGCCTTGTTCTTGCTATTTTGCACAGGCTAGACCCTTGTTTTTGCAATTTTGCACATGTTCAACCCTTGTTCTTGCAATTTTGCACACGTTATGCCTTTGTTCATGCTATTTTGCACACGTTAGGCCCTTGTTCTTGCAATTTTGCACACAGTAGGTCATTGATCTTGCTATTTTGCACACGCTAGACCCTTGTTCTTGCAATTTTGAACACCCTATGCCCTTGTTCTTGCCATTTTGCACACGCTAGGCCCTTATTCTTGCTATTATGCAGACGCAAGGCTCTTGTTCTTGCAATTTTGCACACGCTAGACGCTTGTTCTTGCAATTTTGCACACGCTAGGCCCTTGTTCTTGCTATTTTGCACACGCTAGACCCTTGTTCTTGCAATTTTGCACATGCTAGGCCCTAGACCAGGCAAGCTCCTGGACCACGCAATCTCTTGGACCACGCAATCTCTTGGACCAGGCACACTCGTGGACCACGCACGCTCCTAGACCAGGCAAGCTCCAGGACGAGGCAAGCTCTTGGACAAGGCAAGCTCCTGGACCAAGCACGCTCCTGGACGAGGCAAGCTCCTAGACCAGGCAAGCTTTTGGACCGGGCAAGCTCCTGAACCAGGCAAGCTCTTGGACCAGGCAAGCTTCTGGACAAAGCAAGCTCCTGGACCAGGTGCAAACCTGGACCAGGCACGCTCCTGGACAAGGCAAGCTCCTGGACCAGGCATGCTCCTGGACCAGGCACGCTCTTGGACCAGGCAAGCTCCTGGACCAGGCAAGCTCCTCGACCAGGCAACCTCCTGGACCAGGCAAGCTCCTGAACGAGGCACGCTCCTGGACCATGCAAGCTTCTAGACAAGGCAAGCTCCTGGACCAGGCAAGCTCCTGGACCACGCAAGCTCCTGGACTAGGCATGCTCTTGGACAATGCAATCTCCTGGAACAGGCAAGGTCCTGGACCAGGCACGCTCCTGAACCAGGCAAGCTCCTAGACCAGGCAAGCTTTTGGACAAGGCAAGCTCCATGACCAGGCAAACTCCTGGAACAGGCAAGCTCCTGGACCAGGCACGCTCCTGGACCAGGCAAGCTCCTAGACCACGCAAGCGCTTGGACTAGGCATGCTCTTGAACTAGGCAAGCTCTTGGACCAGGCAAGCTTCTGGCCCAAGCAAGCTCTGGACCAGGCACAAACGTGGACCAAGCATGCTCCTCGACAAGGCAAGCTCTTGGACTGGGAAAGCTTCTGGACCAAGCAAGCTCTTGGACCAGGGACGCTCGTGGACCAAGCACGCTCCTAGACCAGGCAAGCTCTTAGACTAGGCAGGCTCGTGGACCAGGCAAGCTCTTGGACCACGCAAGCTCCTCAACCAGGCACGCTCCTAGACCAGGCAAGCTCCTAGACAAAGCAATCTCCTAGACCAGGAAAGCTCCTGGACCAAGCAAACTCGTGGACCAGACACGCTCCTGGACCAGGCAAGCTCTTGGACCACGCTAGTTCCTGGACCAGGCACGCTCCAGGACGAAGCAAGCTCCTGGACCACGCAAGCTCTTGGACCAGGCAAGCTCTTGGAGCAAGCAAGCTCCTAGACCAGGCAAGCTTCTGGACCAGGCAAGCTCCTAGACAAGGCACGCTACTGGACCAGGCAAGCTCCTAGACCAGACTAACTCGTGGACTAGGCACGCTCCTGAACTAGGTAAGCTCTGGGACCAGGCAATCTTCTGGACCAAGCAAGCTACTGCACTAGGCACAAACCTGGCCCAGGCAAGCTCCTGGACCAAGCAAGCTCCTAGACCAGGCACGCTCGTGGACCAGGCACGCTCCTGGACCAGGCAAGTTCCTAGACCAGGCAAGCTCCTGGACAAGGCAAGCTCCTGGACCAGGCACGCTCCTGGACCGGGCACGCTCTTGGACCAGGCAAGCTCGTGGACCAGGCAAGCTCCTGGACCAGGCAAGCTCCTGGAAGAGGCAAGCTCTCGAACCAAGCACGCTCCTGGACCAGGCAAGCTCCTGAACAAGGCAAGCTTCTGGACCAGGCAAGCTCTTGGACCAGGCAAGCTCGTGGACTAGGCATGCTCTTGGACAAGGCAATCTCCTGGAACAGGCAAGCTCCTGGACCAGGCACGCTCCTGGACCAGGCAAGCTCTTGGACTAGGCACGCTCCTGAACTAGGCAAGCTCTTTGACCAAGCAAGCTTCTGGACCAAGCATGCTCTTGGACAAGGCAAGCTCGTGGACCGGGCAAGCTCCTAGACCAAGCAAGCTCCTGGACCAGGCCCGCTCGTGGACCAGGCACGCTTCTCGACCACGCAAGCTCGTGGACAAGGCACGCTTCTGGACCAAGCAAGCTTCTGGACCAGGCAAGCTCCTGGACCAGGCAAGCTCCTAGACCAGGCAAGCTCCTGGACCAGGAAAGCTCGTGGAACAGGCAAGTTCCAGGACCAGGCAAGCTCGTGGACCAGGCAAGCTCATGGACCTGTCAAGCTCCTGGACCAGGCAAGCTCTTGGACCAGGCAAGCACGTGGACCAGGCATGCTCCTGGACTAGGCAAGCTCCTGAATCGGGCAAGCTCCTTGACCACGCAAGCTCTTGGACTAGACACGCTCCTGGACCAGGCAAGCTCTTGGACCAAGAAGGTTTCTGGACCAAGCAAGCTCCTAGACCAAGCAAGCTCCTAGACCAGGCAAGCTCTTGGACCAGGCAAGCTCCTGGACTAGGCAAGCTTCTGGACAAGGCAAGCTCCTAGACCAGGCAATCTCTTGTACAAGGCACGCTCCTAGACAAGGCAAGCTCTTGGACCATGCAGGCTTCTCGACCAAGCAAGCTCCTAGACCAGGCAAGCTCCTGGACTAGGCAAGCTCTTGGACCCGGAAAGCTCCTGGACCAAGCAAGCTCCTTGACCAGGCAAGCTCCTGGACTAGGCAAGCTCTTAGACCAGGCACGCTCCTGGACCAGGCAAGCTCCTTGACCAGGCAAGCTCCTGGACCAGGCAAGCTCCTTGACCAAGCAAGCTCCTGGACCAGGCAAGCTCCTAAACCAGGCAAACTCGAGGACCAAGCACGCTCCTGGACCAAGCAAGCTCCTAGACCAGGCAAGCTCTTAGACCAGGCAGGTTTCTGGACCAAGCAAGCTCCTGGACCAAGCAAGCTCCTAGACAACGCAAGCTCTTGGACCAGGCAAGCTCCTGGACTAGGCAAGCTCCTGGACAAGGCAAGCTCCTAGACCAGGCAATCTCTTGGACAAGGCACGCTCCTAGACAAGGCAAGCTCTTGGACCAGGCAGGCTTCTCGACCAAGCAAGCTCCTGGACTAGGCACGCTCCTGGACAAGGCAAGCTCTTGGACCAGGCAAGCTCCTAGACCAGGCAAGCTCCTGGAAAATGCAAGCTCCTGGACCAGGCAAGCTCCTCGACCATGCAAGCTCTTGGACCCGGAAAGCTCCTGGACCAAGCAAGCTCCTTCACCAGGCAAGCTCATGGACTAGGCAAGCTCTTGGACCACGCATGCTCCTGGACCAGGCAAGCTCCTTGACCAGGCAAGCTCCTGGACCAGGCAAGCTCCTTGACCAGGCAAGCTCCTGGACTAGGCAAGCTCCTAAACCAGGCAAACTCGAGGACCAAGCACGCTCCTGGACGTGGACGTGGACGTGGACGTGTACATGGACGTGGACATGGACGTGGACGTGGACGTGGACCTGGACGTGGACGTGGACGTGGACGTGGACGTAGACGTGGAGGACTTGGACGTGGACATGGATGTGGACGTGGACGTGGACGTGGACGTGGAGGTGGACGTGGACATGGACGTGGACGTGGACGTGGACGTGGACGTGGACGTTGACGTGGACATGGAAGTGGACGTGGATATGGACGTCGACGTGGTCGTGGACATGGACGTGGATGTGGACGTTGACGTGGACGTAGACGTGGACAGGGAAGTGGACCTGGACGTGGACGTGGACGTGGACGTGGACGTTGACGTGGACATGCACGTGGACGTGGACGTGGATGTGGACGTGGACGTGTACGTGGACGTGGACATGGACGTGGACGTGGACTTGGACGTAGACGTGGACCTGGACGTGGACATGGACGTGTACGTGGACGTAGACGTTGACATGGATGTAGACGTGGAGGACTTGGACGTGGACATGGACGTGGACGTGGACGTGGACGTGGACGTGGAGGTGGACGTGGACATGGACGTGGACGTTGACGTGGACGTGGACGTGGACGTGGACGTTGACGTGGACATGGAAGTTGACGTGGACATGGACGTCCACGTGGTCGGGGACATGGACGTGGACGTGGACGTGGACGTGGACGTGGACGTGGACAGGGAAGTGGACCTGGACGTGGACGTGGACGTTGACGTGGACGTGGACGTGGACGTTGACGTGGACATGGACGTGGACGTGGATGTGGACGTGGACGTAAACGTGGACGTGGACGTGGACGTGGACGTGGACATGGACGTGGACATGGACATGGACGTGGACGTGGACGTGGACGTGGACGTGGACGTGGACATGGACATGGACGTGGACGTGGACATGGACGTGGACCTGGACATGGACGTGGACCTGGACGTGGACCTGGACGTTGACGTGGACATGGACGTGGACATGGACGTGGACGTGGACGTGGACGTGGACATTGTCGTGCACGTGGTCGTGGACGTGGACGTGGACGTGGACATGGACGTGGACGTAGACGTGGACATGGACGAGGACGTGGAGGACATGGACGTGGACATGGACGTGGAAGTAGACGTGGACGTGGACATGGACGTGGACATGGACGTGGACATGGACGTGGACATGGACGTGGACGTGGACATGGACGTGGACGTGGACGTGTACGTGGACGTGGACGTGGGCGTGGACTTAGACGTGGAGGACTTGGACGTGGACGTGGAGGTGGACGTGGAGGTGGACGTGGACATGGACGTCGACGTGGTCGTGGACATGGACGTGGACGTGGACGTGGAGGTGGAGGACTTGGACGTGGACATGGACGTGGACGTGGACGTGGACGTGGACGTTGACGTGGACGTTGACGTGGACGTGGACGTGGACGTGGACGTGGACATGGACGTGGACGTGGAGGACATGGACGTTGACATGGACGTGGACGTAGACGTGGACGTGGACGTGGACATGGACATGGACGTGGACGTGGACATGGACATGGAGATGGACGTGGACGTGGACGTGGACATGAACGTGGACGTGGACGTGGACGTGGATATGGACGTGGACATGGACATGGACATGGACGTGGACGTGGACGTGGACGTGGACGTGGACGTGGACGACTTGGACGTGGACATGGACGTGGACGTGGACGTGAACGTGGACGTGGACGTGGACGTGGACGTGGACATGGACGTGGACGTGGACGTGGACGTGGAAGTGGACATGGACGTAGACGTGGACGTGGACGTGGACATGGACGTCAACGTGGTCGTGGACATGGACGTGGATGTGGACGTGGACGTGGATGTGGACGTGGAGGACTTGGACGTGGACGTGGACGTGGACATGAACGTGGACGTGGACGTGGACGTGGATATGGACGTGGGCATGGACATGGACATGGACGTGGACGTGGACGTGGATGTGGACGTGGACGACTTGGACGTGGACATGGACGTGGACGTGGACGTGAACGTGGACGTGGACGTGGACGTGGACGTGGACATGGACGTGGACGTGGACGTGGACGTGGACGTGGACATGGACGTGGACGTGGACGTGGACGTGGACATGGACGTCAACGTGGTCGTGGACATGGACGTGGATGTGGACGTGGACGTGGATGTGGACATGGACGTGGACATGGACGTGGACGTGGACGTGGACGTGGACGTGGACGTGGACATGGACGTGGATGTGGACGTGGACATGGACATGGACGTGGACGTGGACGTGGACGTGGACGTTGACGTGGACATGGTCGTGGACGTGGACGTGGACGTGGACATGGACGTGGACGTGGACGTCGACGTGGACGTAGATAGGGACGTGGACCTGGACGTGGACGCGGACATGGATATGGACATGGATGTGGACGTGGACATGGACGTGGACATGGATGTGGACGTGGACATGGATGTGGACGTGGACGTGGACGTGGATGTGGACATGGACGTGGACGTGGAAGTGGACATGGACATGGACGTGGACGTGGACGTGGACGTGGAAGTAGACATGGACGTGGACGTGTACGTGAACGTGGACGTGGACGTGGACGTAGACGTGGAGGACTTGGACGTGGACGTGGACATGGACGTGGACATGGACGTGGACTTGGACGTGGAGGTGGAGGTGGACGTGGACGTGGACGTGGACGTGGACGTGGACGTGGACGTGGACGTCGACATGGACGTGGATGTGGACATGGAGGTGGACATGGACGTGGACGTGGAGGTGGACGTGGACATGGACGTGGACGTGGTCGTGGACGTGGACGTGGTCGTGGACATGGATGTGGACGTGGACGTGGACATGGACGTGGACGTGGACGTGGACGTGGTCGTGGACGTGGACGTCGACGTGGACGTGGACATGGACGTGGACGTGGACGTGGAGGACATGGACGTGGACATGGACGTGGACGTGGACGTGAACGTGGACGTGGACGTGGACGTGGACATGGACGTGGACGTGGACGTGGACGTGGACATGGACGTGGACGTGGTCGTGGACCTGGACGTGGTCGTGGACATGGATGTGGACGTGGACGTGGACATGGACGTGGACGTGGACGTGGACGTGGTCGTGGACGTGGACGTCGACGTGGACGTGGACATGGACGTGGACGTGGACGTGGAGGACATGGACGTGGACCTGGACGTGGACGTGGACGTGAACGTGGACGTGGACGTGGACATGGACATGGACGTGGACGTGGACGTGGACATGGACGTGGACGTGGACGTAGATGTGGACGTCGACGTGGACGTGGACTTGGACATGGATGTGGATGTGGACATGGACGTGGACGTGGACGTGGACATGGACGTGGACGTGGACGTGGACGTCGATATGGACGTAGACGTGGACGTGGACGTGGATGTGGACGTGGACGTGGACCTAGACGTGGACCTGGACGTGGACGTGGATGTGGACATGGACGTGGACGTGGACGTAGACGTGGACATTGTCGTGGACGTGGACATTGTCATGGACGTGGACGTGGACGTGGACGTGGACGTGGTCTTGGACGTGGACGTGGACGTGGACGTGGTCGTGGACGTGGACGTGGACGTGGACGTGGACGTGGACGTCGACATGGACGTCGACGTGGACGTGGACGTGGACGTGGACATGGACATGGACATGGACGTCGACGTGGACGTGGACGTGGACATTGTCGTGGACGTGGACGTAGACGTGGACGTGGTCGTGGACGTTTACGTGGACGTCGACGTGGACGTGGACATTGTCGTGGACGTGGACATGGACGTGGATGTGGACGTGGACGTGGTCGTGGACGTGGACGTAAACGTGGACGTGGTCGTGGACGTGGACATGGACGTGGACGTGGACGTGGACATGGAAGTGGACGTGGACGTGGAGGACATGGACGTGGACATGGACTTGGACGTAGACGTGGACTTCGACGTGGACATGGACGTGGACGTGGACATGGACGTGGAGATGGACGTGGACGTGGACGTGGACATGGACGTGGACGTGGACGTGGACATGGACGTGGATATGGACGTGGACATGGACGTGGACGTGGACGTGGACATGGACGTGGACGTGGACGTGGACGTGGACATGGACGTGGACGTAGACGTGGACGTAGACGTGGACGTGGACAAGGACATGGACGTGGACGTGGACATAGACCTGGACCTGGACCTGGACGTGGACCTGGACGTGGACGTGGACGTGGACGTGGACGTAGACGTGGACATTGTCGTGGACGTGGACATTGTCGTGGACGTGGACGTGGACGTGGTCTTGGACGTGGACGTGGACGTGGACGTGGTCGAGGACGTGGACGTGGACGTGGACGTTGACGTGGACATGGACGTGGACGTGGACATGGACGTGGACGTGGAGGTGGACGTGGACGTGGACGTGGACGTGGACGTGGAGGTGGACGTGGACGTCGACGTGGACGTGGACGTGGACGTGGACGTCGACGTGGACGTGGACGTGGACGTGGACGTGGTCGTGGACGTGGACGTGGTCGAGGACGTGGACGTGGACGTGGACGTGGTCGTGGACGTGGACGTGGACGTGGACGTGGACGTGGACCTGGACGTGGTCGTGGACGTGGACGTGGACGTGGACGTGGACATGGACGTGGACCTGGACGTGGACATGGACGTGGACGTGGACGTGGAGGACATGGACGTGGACATGGACGTGGACGTGGACGTGAACGTGGACGTGGACGTGGACGTGGACATGGACGTGGACGTGGACGTCGAAATGGACGTGGACGTGGACGTGGACATGGACATGGACATAGACGTCGACATGGACGTGGACGTAGACGTGGACGTGGACGTGGTTGGGACGTGGACATGGACGTGGACATGGACGTGGACGTGGACGTGGACATGGACGTGGACGTGGACATGGACGTGGACATGGACGTGGAGATGGACGTGGACGTGGACGTGGACGTGGACATGGACGTGGACGTGGACATGGACGTGGACATGGACGTGGACATGGACGTGGACGTGGACATGGACGTGGACATGGACATGGACGTGGAGATGGACGTGGACGTGCACGTGGACGTGGACATGGACGTGGACATGGACGTGGACGTAGACGTGGACGTGGACGTGGACGTGGACATGGACGTGGAGATGGACGTGGACGTGGACGTGGACATGGACATGGACGTGGACGTGGACGTGGACATGGACGTGGACATGGACGTGGATATGGACGTGGACGTGGCAATGGACGTGGACGTGGACGTGGACATGGACGTGGACGTAGACGTGGACGTGGACGTGGTTGGGACGTGGACGTGGACATGGACGTGGACGTGGACATGGACGTGGACGTGGACCTGGACGTGAACCTGGACGTGGACCTGGACGTGGACGTGGACGTGGACATGGACGTGGACGTAGATGTGGACATTGTCGTGGACGTGGACATTGTCGTGGACGTGGACGTGGACGTGGTCTTGGACGTCGACATGGACGTGGACGTGGACGTGGTCGTGGACGTGGACGTGGACGTGGACATGGACGTGGACGTGGACGTGGACGTGGACATGGACGTCGACCTGGACGTGGACGTGGACGTGGACGTGGTGGTGGACGTGGACGTGGACGTGGACGTGGACGTGGACATGGACGTGGACGTGGACGTGGTCGTGGACGTGGAGGTGGACGTGGACGTGGACGTGGACATGGACGTGGACGTGGACGTGGACGTCGACCTGGACGTGGACGTGGACGTGGACATGGACGTGGACATGGACGTCGACGTGGACGTGGACGTGGACGTGGACGTGGACGTGGTCGTGGACGTGGACGTGGACGTGGACGTCGACGTGGACATTGTCGTGGACGTGGACCTGGACGTGGACGTGGACATGGAGGACATGGACGTGGACATGGACGTGGACATAGACGTGGACGTGGACGTGGACATGGACATGGACGTGGACGTGGACATGGACGTGGAGATGGACGTGGACGTGGACGTGGACATGGACGTGGACGTGGACGTGGACATGGACGTGGACGTGGACGTGGACGTGGACATTGTCGTGGACGTGGACATGGACGTGGACGTGGACGAGGAGGTGGACGTGGACGTGGAGGTGGACGTGGACATGGACGTGGACGTGGACGTGGACATGGACGTGGACATAGACGTGGACATGGACATCGACGTGGTCGTGGACATGGACGTGGATATGGACGTGGACGTGGACGTGGACGTGGATGTGGAGGACTTGGACGTGGACATGGACATGGACGTGGACGTGGACGTGGACGTTGACGTGGACATGGACGTGGATGTGGACCTGGACGTGGACGTGGACGTGGTCGTGGACGTTGACGAGGACGTGGACGTGGTCGTGGACGTGGACGTAGACGTGGATGTGGACGTGGTCGTGGACGTGGACGTGGACGTGGACATGGACGTGGACGTGGACGTGGACGTGGATGTGAAGATGGACGTGGACCTGGACGTGGACGTGGACGTGGACGTGGACATGGACGTGGACATGGATGTGGACGTGGACGTGGACGTAGACATTGTCGTGGACGTGGACGAAGACGTGGACGTGGACGTGGTCGTGGACGTGGACGTGGACGTCGACGTGGACATGGACGTGGACGTGGACGTGGACATTGTCGTGGACCTGGACATTGTCGTGAACGTGGACGTGGACGTGGACATGGACGTGGTCATGGACGTGGACGTAGACGTCGACGTGGACGTGGACGTGGACATGGACGTGGACGTGGACATGGACGTGGACGTGGACGTGGAGGACATGGACGTGGACATGGACGTGGACGTAGACGTGGACGTGGACGTGGACTTGGACATGGACATGGACGAGGACGTGGACGTGGACATGGACATGGACATGGACATGGACGTGGACGTGGATATGAACGTGCACGTGGACGTGGACGTGGACATGGACGTGGACATGGACGTGGATATGGACGTGGACGTGGACGTGGACGTGGACATGGACGTGGACGTGGACGTGGACGTGGACGACTTGGACGTGGACATGGACGTGGACGTGGACGTGGACGTGGACATGGAGGTGGACGTGGACATGGACGTGGACGTGGACGTGGACGTGGACATGGACGTCGACGTGGTCGTGGACATGGACGTGGATGTGGACGTGGACGTGGACGTGGACGTGGACGTGGAGGACTTGAACTTGGACATGGACAAGGACGTGAACGTGGATGTGGACGTGGACGTTGACGTGGACATGGACATAGACGTGGACGTGGACATGGACATGGACGTGGACGTGGACGTGGACGTGGATAGGGAAGTGGACCTGGACGTGGACGTGGACATGGACGTGGACATGGATGTGGACGTGGACATGGACGTGGACATGGATGTGGACGTGGACGTGGACGTGGACGTGGACATAGACGTGGACGTGGACGTGGATGTGGACATGGACGGACATGGACATGGACGTGGACGTGGACGTGGACGTGGACATGGACGTGGACGTGGACGTGTACGTGGACGTGGACGTGGACGTGGACGTAGACTTGGAGGACTTGGAAGTGGACGTGGACGTGGACGTGGACGTGGATGTGGAGGTGGACGTGGACGTGGACGTGGACGTGGATGTGGACGTGGACGTGGACGTGGATGTGGACGTGGACGTGGACGTGGTCGTGGACGTTGACGAGGACGTGGACGTGGTCGTGGACGTGGACGTAGACGTGGATGTGGACGTGGTCGTGGACGTGGACGTGGACGTGGACGTGGACGTGGACATGGACGTGGACGTGGACGTGGATGTGAAGATGGACGTGGACCTGGACGTGGACGTGGACGTGGACATGGACGTGGACGTGGACGTGGACGTGGACATTGTCGTGGACGTGGACATGGACGTGGACGTGGACGAGGAGGTGGACGTGGACGTGGAGGTGGACGTGGACATGGACGTGGACGTGGACGTGGACATGGACGTGGACATAGACGTGGACATGGACATCGACGTGGTCGTGGACATGGACGTGGATATGGACGTGGACGTGGACGTGGACGTGGATGTGGAGGACTTGGACGTGGACATGGACATGGACGTGGACGTGGACGTGGACGTTGACGTGGACATGGACGTGGATGTGGACCTGGACGTGGACGTGGACGTGGTCGTGGACGTTGACGAGGACGTGGACGTGGTCGTGGACGTGGACGTAGACGTGGATGTGGACGTGGTCGTGGACGTGGACGTGGACGTGGACATGGACGTGGACGTGGACGTGGACGTGGATGTGAAGATGGACGTGGACCTGGACGTGGACGTGGACGTGGACGTGGACATGGACGTGGACATGGATGTGGACGTGGACGTGGACGTAGACATTGTCGTGGACGTGGACGAAGACGTGGACGTGGACGTGGTCGTGGACGTGGACGTGGACGTCGACGTGGACATGGACGTGGACGTGGACGTGGACATTGTCGTGGACCTGGACATTGTCGTGAACGTTGACGTGGACGTGGACATGGACGTGGTCATGGACGTGGACGTAGACGTCGACGTGGACGTGGACGTGGACATGGACGTGGACGTGGACATGGACGTGGACGTGGACGTGGAGGACATGGACGTGGACATGGACGTGGACGTAGACGTGGACGTGGACGTGGACTTGGACATGGACATGGACGAGGACGTGGACGTGGACATGGACATGGACATGGACATGGACGTGGACGTGGATATGAACGTGCACGTGGACGTGGACGTGGACATGGACGTGGACATGGACGTGGATATGGACGTGGACGTGGACGTGGACGTGGACATGGACGTGGACGTGGACGTGGACGTGGACGTGGACGACTTGGACGTGGACATGGACGTGGACGTGGACGTGGACGTGGACATGGAGGTGGACATGGACATGGACGTGGACGTGGACGTGGACGTGGACATGGACGTCGACGTGGTCGTGGACATGGACGTGGATGTGGACGTGGACGTGGACGTGGACGTGGACGTGGAGGACTTGAACTTGGACATGGACAAGGACGTGAACGTGGATGTGGACGTGGACGTTGACGTGGACATGGACATAGACGTGGACGTGGACATGGACATGGACGTGGACGTGGACGTGGACGTGGATAGGGAAGTGGACCTGGACGTGGACGTGGACATGGACGTGGACATGGATGTGGACGTGGACATGGACGTGGACATGGATGTGGACGTGGACGTGGACGTGGACGTGGACATAGACGTGGACGTGGACATGGATGTGGACATGGACGGACATGGACATGGACGTGGACGTGGACGTGGACGTGGACATGGACGTGGACGTGGACGTGTACGTGGACGTGGACGTGGACGTGGACGTAGACTTGGAGGACTTGGAAGTGGACGTGGACGTGGACGTGGACGTGGATGTGGAGGTGGACGTGGACGTGGATGTGGACGTGGACATGGACGTGGACGTGGACGTGGATGTGGACGTGGACGTGGACGTGGTCGTGGACGTTGACGAGGACGTGGACGTGGTCGTGGACGTGGACGTAGACGTGGATGTGGACGTGGTCGTGGACGTGGACGTGGACGTGGACGTGGACGTGGACATGGACGTGGACGTGGACGTGGACGTGGATGTGAAGATGGACGTGGACCTGGACGTGGACGTGGACGTGGACGTGGACATGGACGTGGACATGGATGTGGACGTGGACGTGGACGTAGACATTGTCGTGGACGTGGACGAAGACGTGGACGTGGACGTGGTCGTGGACGTGGACGTGGACGTCGACGTGGACATGGATGTGGACGTGGACGTGGACATTGTCGTGGACCTGGACATTGTCGTGAACGTGGACGTGGACATGGACGTGGTCATGGACGTGGACGTGGACGTCGACGTGGACGTGGACGTGGACGTGGACATGGACGTGGACGTGGACATGGACGTGGACGTGGACGTGGAGGACATGGACGTGGACATGGACGTGGACGTAGACGTGGACGTGGACGTGGACTTGGACATGGACATGGACGAGGACGTGGACGTGGACATGGACATGGACATGGACGTGGACGTGGATATGAACGTGCACGTGGACGTGGACGTGGACATGGACGTGGACATGGACGTGGATATGGACGTGGACGTGGACGTGGACGTGGACATGGACGTGGACGTGGACGTGGACGTGGACGACTTGGACGTGGACATGGACGTGGACGTGGACGTGGACGTGGACATGGAGGTGGACGTGGACATGGACGTGGACGTGGACGTGGACGTGGACGTGGACATGGACGTCGACGTGGTCGTGGACATGGACGTGGATGTGGACGTGGACGTGGACGTGGACGTGGACGTGGAGGACTTGAACTTGGACATGGACAAGGACGTGAACGTGGATGTGGACGTGGACGTTGACGTGGACATGGACATAGACGTGGACGTGGACGTGGACATGGACGTGGACGTGGACGTGGATAGGGAAGTGGACCTGGACGTGGACGTGGACATGGACGTGAACATGGATGTGGACGTGGACATGGACGTGGACATGGATGTGGACGTGGACGTGGACGTGGACGTGGACATGGACGTGGACGTGGACGTGGATGTGGACATGGACGGACATGGACATGGACGTGGACGTGGACGTGGACATGGACGTGGACGTGGACGTGTACGTGGACGTGGACGTGGACGTGGACGTGGACGTGGACGTGGACGTAGACTTGGAGGACTTGGACGTGGACGTGGACGTGGACATGGACGTGGATGTGAAGGTGGACGTGGACGTGGACGTGGACGTGGACATGGACGTGGACGTGGACGTGGATGTGGACGTGGACGTGGACGAGGACGTGGACATGGACGTGGACGTGGACGTGGACTTTGTCGTGGACGTGGACGTGGACGTGGACGTAGACGTGGTCGTGGATGTGGACTTGGACATGGACGTGGAAGTGGACGTGGACGTGGACGTGGACTTCGCAACGTGGACGTGGACGTGGACGTGGACTTCGCAACGTGGACGTGGACGTGGACGTTGACGTGGACGTGGACTTCGCAACGTGGACGTGGACATGGACGTGGACGTAGACGTCGACGTGGACGTTGACGTGGACGTGGACATGGACGTGGACGTGGACATGGACGTGGACGTGGACATGGACGTGGACATGGACGTGGACGTGTACGTGGACATGGACGTGGACGTGGACGTGGTCATGGACGTGGACGTGGACGTGGACGTGGTCGTGGACGTGGACGTGGACGTGGACGTGGTCGTGGACATGGACGTGGACGTGGACGTGGACATGGAGGTGGACGTGGACGTGGAGGACATGGACGTGGACATGGACGTGGAGGACATGGACGTGGACATGGACGTGGACGTAGACGTGGACGTGGACGTGGAGGACATGGACGTGGACATGGACGTGGACGTAGACGTGGACATGAACGTGGAGGTGGACGTGGACGTGGACATGGACATGGACGTGGACGTGGACGTGGACATGGACATGGACGTGGACGTGGACGTGGACATGGACGTGGAGATGGACGTGGACGTGGACGTGGACATGAACGTGGAGGTGGACGTGGACGTGGACATGGACGTGGACATGGAGGTGGACATGGACGTGGACGTGGACGTGGACGTGGACATGGACGTGGACGTAGACGTGGACGTGGACGTGGTTGGGACGTGGACGTGGACATGGACGTGGACGTGGACGTGGACGTGGACTTGGACGTAGACGTGGACGTGGACGTAGACGTGGACATTGTCGTGGACGTGGACATTGTCGTGGACGTGGACGTGGACGTGGACGTGGTCTTGGACGTGGACGTGGACGTGGTCGTGGACGTGGACGTGGACGTGGACGTGGACGTCGACATGGACGTGGATGTGGACGTGGACGTGGACATGGACGTCGACCAGGACGTGGACGTGGACGTGGACATAGACGTGGACATGGACGTGGACGTGGACGTGGACGTGGACTTTGTCGTGGACGTGGACGTGGAGGTGGTCGTGGACGTGGACGTGGACGTCGACGTCGACGTAGACGTGAACATTGTCGTGGACGTGGACGTGGTCGTGGATGTGGACGTGGACGTGGACGTGGACGTGGACGTGGACGTAGACGTGGACATGGACGTGGACGTGGACGTGGACATGGACGTGGACGTGGACGTGGAGGACATGGATGTGGACATGGACGTGGACATAGACGTGGACGTGGACGTGGACATGGACATGGACGTGGACGTGGACGTGGACATGGACGTGGAGATGGACGTGGACGTGGACGTGGACATGGACGTGGACGTGGACGTGGACATGGACGTGGACGTGGACGTGGACGTGGACATTGTCGTGGACGAGGAGGTGGACGTGGACGTGGAGGTGGACGTGGACATGGACGTGGACGTGGACGTGGACGTGGACATGGACGTGGACATAGACGTGGACATGGACATCGACGTGGTCGTGGACATGGACGTGGATATGGACGTGCACGTGGACGTGGACGTGGATGTGGAGGACTTGGACGTGGACATGGACATGGACGTGGACGTGGACGTGGACGTTGACGTGGACATGGACGTGGATGTGGACCTGGACGTGGACGTGGACGTGGTCGTGGACGTTGACGAGGACGTGGACGTGGTCGTGGACGTGGACGTAGACGTGGATGTGGACGTGGTCGTGGACGTGGACGTGGACGTGGACGTGGACGTGGACATGGACGTGGACGTGGACGTGGACGTGGATGTGGACGTGGAGGACATGGACGTGGACATGGACGTGGACGTGGACGTGGACGTGGACGTGGACGTGGACGTGGAGGACATGGACGTGGACATGGACGTGGACGTAGACGTGGACGTGGACGTGGACTTGGACATGGACATGGACGAGGACGTGGACGTGGACATGGACATGGAGATGGAATTGGACGTGGACGTGGATATGAACGTGGACGTGGACGTGGACGTGGACATGGACGTGGACATAGACGTGGATATGGACGTGGACGTGGACGTGGACATGGACGTGGACGTGGACGTGGACGTGGACGACTTGGACGTGGACATGGACGTGGACGTGGACGTGGACGTGGACATGGAGGTGGACGTGGACATGGACGTGGACGTGGACGTGGACGTGGACGTGGACATGGACGTCGACGTGGTCGTGGACATGGACATGGATGTGGACGTGGACGTGGACGTGGACGTGGACGTGGAGGACTTGAACTTGGACATGGACAAGGACGTGGACGTGGATGTGGACGTGGACGTTGACGTGGACATGGACATAGACGTGGACGTGGACGTGGACATGGACGTGGACGTGGACGTGGACGTGGATAGGGAAGTGGACCTGGACGCGGACGTGGATATGGACGTGGAAATGGATGTGGACGTGGACATGGACGTGGACATGGATGTGGACGTGGACGTGGACGTGGACATGGACGTGGACGTGGATGTGGATGTGGACATGGACGGACATGGACATGGACGTGGACGTGGACGTGGACGTGGACATGGACGTGGACGTGTACGTGGACGTGGACGTGGACGTGGACGTGGACGTGGACGTAGACTTGGAGGACTTGGACGTGGACGTGGACGTGGACGTGGACGTGGATGTGGAGGTGGACGTGGACGTGGACGTGGACGTGGACATGGACGTGGACGTGGACGTGGATGTGGACGTCGACGTGGACGAGGACGTGGACATGGACATGGACGTGGACGTGGACATTGTCGTGGACGTGGACGTGGACGTGGACGTAGACGTGGTCGTGGATGTGGACTTGGACATGGACGTGGAAGTGGACGTGGACGTGGACGTGGACTTCGCAACGTGGACGTGGACGTGGACGTGGACGTGGACGTGGACGTGGACTTCGCAACGTGGACGTGGAGATGGACGTGGACGTAGACGTCGACGTGGACGTTGACGTGGACGTGGACATGGACGTGGACGTGGACATGGACGTGGACGTGGACATGGACGTGGACATGGACGTGGACGTCGACGTGGACGTGGACATGGACGTGGACGTGGACGTGGTCATGGACGTGGACGTGGACGTGGACGTGGTCGTGGACGTGGACGTGGACGTGGACGTGGTCGTGGACATGGACGTGGACGTGGACGTGGACATGGACGTGGACGTGGACGTGGAGGACATGGACGTGGACGTGGACGTGGAGGACATGGACGTGGACATGGACGTGGACGTAGACGTGGACGTAGACGTGGAGGACATGGACGTGGACATGGACGTGGACGTAGACGTAGACGTGGACGTGGACATGGACATGGACGTGGACGTGGACGTGGACGTGGACATGGACGTGGAGATGGACGTGGACGTGGACGTGGACATGAACGTGGAGGTGGACGTGGACGTGGACATGGACGTGGACGTGGACGTGGACATGGACGTGGACGTGGACGTGGACGTGGACATGGACGTGGACGTGGATGTGGACATGAACGTGGACGTGGACGTGGACGTAGACGTGGACGACTTGGACGTGGACATGGACGTGGACGTGGAGGTGGACGTGGACATGGACGTGGACGTGGACGTGGACGTGGACATGGACGTGGACGTGGACGTGGACATGGACATCGACGTGGTCGTGGACGTGGACGTGGATGTGGACGTGGACGTGGACGTGGAGGACTTGGACGTGGACATGGACATGGACGTGGTTGTGGACGTGGACGTGGACGTTGACGTCGACATAGACTTGGACGTGGACGTGGACGTGGACGTGGACATGGACGTGGACGTGGATAGGGAAGTGGACCTGGACGTGGACGTGGACATGGACGTGGACATGGATGTGGACATGGACATGGACGTGGACATGAATGTGGACGTGGACGTGGACGTGGACGTGGACATGGACGTGGACGTAGACGTGGACGTGGATGTGGACATGGACATGGACATGGACTAGGACGTGGACGTGGACGTGGACGTAGACATGGACGTGGACGTGGACGTGTACATGGACGTGGACGTGGACGTAGACGTGGAGGAATTGGACGTGGAGGACTTGGACGTGGACGTGGACGTGGACGTGGACGTGGACAGGGAAGTGGACGTGGACGTGGACGTGGACATGGACGTGGACGTGGACGTGGACGTGGTCATGGATGTGAACATGGACGTGGACATGGACGTGGACGTGGACGTGGACGTGGACGTGGACTTGGACTTGGACGTGGACGTGGACATAGACGTGGACGTGGACGTGGACGTGGACGTGGACTTGGACTTGGACATGGACGTGGACGTGAACGTGGACGAGGACATGGACGTAGACGTGGACGTGGACGTGGACGTGGACCTGGACGTGGACGTGGACCTGGACGTGGACGTGGACATGGACGTGGATGTGGACGTAGACGTGGACATTGTCGTGGACGTGGACATTGTCGTGGACATGGACATTGTCGTGGACGTGGACGTGGACGTGGATGTGGACGTGGTCTTGGACGTGGACGTGGACGTGGACGTGGACGTGGACATGGACGTTGATGTGGACATGGACGTGGACGTGAACGTGGACATGGACGTGGACATGGACGTGAACGTGGACGTGGACATGGACATGGACGTGGACGTGAACGTGAACATGGACGTGGACGTGGACATGGACGTTGATGTGGACATGGACGTGAACGTGAACGTGGACATGGACGTGGACATGGACGTGAACGTGGACATGGACGTGGACATGGACGTGGATGTGGACGTTGACATGGACGTGGACGTGGACGTGGACGTGGACGTGGACGTGGACATGGACGTGGACGTGGACGTGGACGTGGACGTGGACGTGGACGTGGAATTGGACGTGGACGTGGACGTGGACGTGGACCTGGACGTGGACCTGGACGTGGACGTGGACGTGGACGTGGACCTGGACGTGGACGTGGACGTGGACGTGGACATGGACGTGGACATTGTCGTGGACGTGGACATGGACGTCGACATGGTCTTGGACGTGGACGTGGATGTGGACGTGGACGTGGATGTGGACGTGGTCGTGGTCGTGTACGTGGACGAGGACGTGGACGTGGACGTGGTCGTGGACGTGGACGAGGACGTGGACGTGGACGTGGTTGTGGACGTTGATGTGGACGTGGACGTGGACGTGGACATGGACATGGACGTGGACGTGGACGTGGACGTGGACGTGGACGTGGACATGGACATGGACCTGGACGTGGACGTGGACGTGGACGTGGACATGGACATGGACCTGGACGTGGACGTGGACGTGGACATGGACGTGGACATGGACGTGGACGTGGACGTGGACATTGTCGTGGACGTGGACGAAGACGTGGACCTGGAAGGGTCGTGGACGTGGACGTGGACGTGGACAAGGACATGGACGGGGACGTGGACGTGGACATTGTCGTGGACGTGGACATTGTCGTGGACGTGGACGTGTTCGTGGATGTGGACGTGGACGTGGACGTGGACATGGACATGGACGTGGACATGGACGTGGACGTAAACGTGGAGGACATGGACGTTGACATGGACGTGGACGTAGACGTGGACGTGGACGTGGACATGGACATGGACATGGACATGGACGTGGACGTGGACGTGGACGTGGACATGGACGTGGAGATGGACGTGGACGTGGACGTGGACATGAACGTGGAGGTGGACGTGGACGTGGACATGGACGTGGACATGGACGTGGACATGGACGTGGACGTGGACGTGGACGTGGACGTGGACGTGGACATGGACGTGGACGTGGACATGGACGTGGACGTGGACGTGGACGTGGACATGGACGTGGACGTGGATGTGGACATGAACGTGGACGTGGACGTGGACGTAGACGTGGACGACTTGGACGTGGACATGGACGTGGACGTGGACGTAGACGTGGAGGTGGACGTGGACATGGACGTGGACGTGGACGTGGACATGGACGTGGACGTGGACGTGGACGTGGAGGACTTGGACGTGGACATGGACATGGACGTGGTTGTGGACGTGGACGTGGACGTTGACGTCGACATGGACGTGGACGTGGACGTGGACGTGGACGTGGACATGGACGTGGACGTGGACGTGGACGTGGATAGGGAAGTGGACCTGGACGTGGACGTGGACATGGACGTGGACATGGATGTGGACATGGACATGGACGTGGACATGAATGTGGACGTGGACGTGGACGTGGACATGGACGTGGACGTGGACGTGGACGTGGATGTGGACGTGGTCGTGTACGTGGACGAGGACGTGGACGTGGACGTGGTCGTGGACGTGGACGAGGACGTGGACGTGGACGTGGTCGTGGACGTTGATGTGGACGTGGACGTGGACGTGGACATGGACATGGACATGGACGTGGACGTGGACGTGGACGTGGACGTGGACGTGGACCTGGACATGGACCTGGACGTGGACATGGACGTGGACATGGACGTGGACATGGACGTGGACGTGGACGTGGACGTGGACATTGTCGTGGACGTGGACGAAGACGTGGACCTGGAAGGGTCGTGGACGTGGACGTGGACGTGGACGTGGACATGGACGGGGACGTGGACGTGGACAATGTCGTGGACCTGGACATTGTCGTGGACGTGGACGTGGACGTGTTCGTGGACGTGGACATGGACGTGGACGTGGACATGGACATGGACGTGGACATGGACGTGGACGTGGACGTGGAGGACATGGACGTTGACATGGACGTGGACGTAGACGTGGACGTGGACGTGGACATGGACATGGACGTGGACGTGGACGTGGACGTGGACATGGACGTGGAGATGGACGTGGACGTGGACGTGGACATGAACGTGGACCTGGACGTGGACGTGGACATGGACGTGAACATGGACGTGGACATGGACGTGGACGTGGACGTGGACATGGACGTGGACGTGGACGTGGACGTGGATGACTTGGACGTAGACATGGACGTGGACGTGGACATGGAGGTGGAGGTGGACGTGGACATGGACGTGGACGTGGACGTCGACGTTTACGTCTACGTGGACGTGGATATGGACGTGGATGTGGACGTGGACGTGGACGTGGACGTGGACGTGGAGGACTTGGACGTGGACATGGACATGGACGTGGACGTGGACGTGGACGTGGACGTTGACGTGGACATGGACGTGGACGTGGACGTGGGCGTGGACATGGACGTGGACGTGGACATGGACGTGGACGTGGACGTGGATAGGGAAGTGGACCTGGACGTGGACATGGACATGGACGTGGACATGGATGTGGACGTAGACATGGACGTGGACGTTGACGTGGATGTGCACATGGACATTGACATGGACGTGGACGTGGACGTGGACGTGGACGTGGACATGGACGTGGACGTGGACGTGTACGTGGACGTGGACGTGGACGTGGACGTGGACGTAGACGTGGAGGACTTGGACGTGGACGTGGATGTGGACGTGGACGTGGATGTGGACGTGGACGTGGACGTGGAGGTGGACGTGGACGTGGACGTGGCTGTGGACGTGGACGTGGACGTGGAGGACTTGGACGTGGACATGGACATGGACATGGACGTGGACGTGGACGTGGACGTGGACGTTGACGTGGACATGGACGTGGACGTGGACGTGGACGTGGACATGGACATGGACGTGGACATGGACGTGGACGCGGACGTGGATAGGGAAGTGGACCTGGACGTCGACGTGGACATTGACGTGGACATGGATGTGGACGTGGACATGGAAGTGGACATGGATGTGGACGTGGACGTGGACGTGGACGTGGACATGGACGTGGACGTGGACGTGGACGTGGATGTGGACGTGAACGTGTACATAGACGTGGACGTGGACGTGGATGTGGACGTGGACATGGACGTAGACGTGGAGGACTTGGACGTGGACGTGGACGTGGACGTGGATGTGGACGTGGACGTGGAGGTGGAGGTGGACGTGGACGTGGACATGGACGTGGACGTGGACGTGGACGTGGACATGGACGTGGACGTGGACGTGGACGTGGACATGGATGTGGACGTGGACATTGTCGTGGACGTGGATGTGGTCGTGGACGTGGACGTGGACGTGGGCGTGGACGTGGACGACGTGGACGTGGACGTGGACGACGTGGACCTGGACGTGGACGTGGACGTGGACGTGGAAGTGGAGATGGACGTGGACGTGGACGTGGACGTGGACGTGGACATTGTCGTGGACGTGGACGAAGACGTGGACCTGGAAGGGTCGTGGACGTGGACGTGGACGTGGACGTGGACATGGACGGGGACGTGGACGTGGACATTGTCGTGGACCTGGACATTGTCGTGGACGTGGACGTGTTCGTGGACGTGGACATGGACGTGGACGTGGACATGGACGTAGACGTGGACTTGGACGTGGACGTGGACGTGGATAGGGAAGTGGACCTGGACGTGGACGTGGACATGGACGTGGACATGGACGTGGACGTGGACATGGACGTGGACATGGATGTGGACGTGGACGTAGACGTGGACGTGGACACGGACGTGGACGTGGACGTGGAAGACTTGGACGTGGACATGGACGTGGACGTGGATGTGGACGTGGACGTCGACGTGGAGGTGGACGTGGACCATGGACATGGACGTGGACGTGGACGTGGACGTGGACATGGACGTGGACGTAGACGTGTATATGGACGTGGACGTGGATGTGGACGTAGACGTGGACGTGGACGTGGACGTCGACGTGGACATGGACGTGGACGTGGACGTGTACGTGGACGTGGACGTGGACGTGGACGTGGACATGGACGTGGACGTGGACGTGTACGTGGACGTGGACGTGGACGTGGACGTGGACGTAGACGTGGAGGACTTGGACGTGGACGTGGACGTGGACGTGGATGTGGACGTGGACGTGGACGTGGAGGTGGACGTGGACGTGGACATGGCTGTGGACGTGGACGTGGACGTGGAGGACTTGGACGTGGACATGGACATGGACATGGTCGTAGACGTGGATGTAGACGTAGACGTGGACGTGGACGTGGACATGGACGTGGACGTGGACGTGTACGTGGACGTGGACGTGGACGTGGACGTGGACATGGACGTGGACGTGGACGTGTACGTGGACGTGGACTTGGACGTGGACGTGGAGGACGTGGACGTGGACGTGGACGTGGACGTGGACGTGGATGTGGACGTGGACGTGGACGTGGAGGTGGACGTGGACGTGGACATGGCTGTGGACGTGGACGTGGACGTGGAGGAATTGGACGTCGACATGGACATGGACATGGACGTGGACGTGGACGTGGACGTGGACGTTGACGTGGACATGGACGTGGACGTGGACGTGGACGTGGACATGGACATGGACGTGGACATGGACGTGGACGCGGACGTGGATAGGGAAGTGGACCTGGACGTGGACGTGGACATTGACGTGGACATGGATGTGGACGTGGACATGGAAGTGGACATGGATGTGGACGTGGACGTGGACGTGGACGTGGACATGGACGTGGACGTGGACGTGGACGTGGATGTGGACGTGAACGTGTACATAGACGTGGACGTGAACGTGGATGTGGACGTGGACATGGACGTAGACGTGGAGGACTTGGACGTGGACGTGGACGTGGACGTGGATGTGGACGTGGACGTGGAGGTGGAGGTGGACGTGGACGTGGACGTGGACGTGGACGTGGACGTGGACGTGGACATGGACGTGGACGAGGACGTGGACGTGGACATGGATGTGGACGTGGACATTGTCGTGGACGTGGATGTGGTCGTGGACGTGGACGTGGACGTGGGCGTGGACGTGGACGACGTGGACGTGGACGTGGACGTGGACGACGTGGACCTGGACGTGGACGTGGACGTGGACGTGGACGTGGAAGTGGAGATGGACGTGGACGTGGACGTGGACGTGGACGTGGACATGGACGTGGACGTGGACATGGACGTGGACGCGTGGTTGTGGACGTGGACGTGGACGTGGACGTGGTCGTGGACTTGGACGTGGACGTGGACGTGGACGTGGACGTGGACATGGACGTGGACCTGGACGTGGACGTGGAAGTGGACGTGGACATGGACGTGGACGTGGACGTGGACGTTGATGTGGACATTGTCGTGGACGTGGACGAAGACGTGGACGTGGTCGTGGACGTGGACGTGGATGTGGACGTCGACGTGGACGTGGACATGGACGTGGACGTAGACGTGGATGTGGACATTGTCGTGGACCTGGACAATGTCGTGGACATGGACGTGGACGTGGTCGTGGACGTGGACGTGGACGTGGTCGTGGACGTGGACGTGGACGTGGACGTGGACGTGGACATGGACATGGACGTGGACGTGGACATGGACGTGGACGTAGACGTGGACGTGGACGTGGACATGGACATGGACATGGACGTGGACGTTGACGTGGACGTGGACGTGGAGGACTTGGACGTGGACATGGACATGGACGTGGACGTGGACGTGGACGTTGACGTGGACATGGACGTGGACGTGGACGTGGACGTGGACATGGACGTGGACGTGGACATGGACGTGGACGTGGACGTGGATAGGGAAGTGGACCTGGACGTGGACGTGGACATGGACGTGGACATGGATGTGGACGTGGACATGGACGTGGACATGGATGTGGACGTGGACGTGGACGTGGACGTGGACATGGACGTGGACGTGGATGTGGACATGGATGTGCACATGGACATTGACATGGACGTGGACGTGGACGTGGACGTGGACATGGACGTGGACGTGGACGTGTACGTGGACGTGGACGTGGACGTGGACGTGGATGTGGACGTGGACGTGGACATGGAGGTGGACGTGGACGTGGACGTGGACGTGGACATGGAGGTGGACGTGGACGTGGACGTGGACGTGGACGTGGACATGGACGTGGACGTGGACATGGACGTGGACGTGGACGTGGACGTGGACATGGACCTGAACGTGGACGTGGACGTGGACATTGTCGTGGACGTGGACGTGGACGTGGACGTGGACGTGGTCGTGTACGTGGACGTGGACGTGGACGTGGACGTGGACGACGTGGACCTGGACGTGGACGTGGACGTGGAAGTGGACGTGGACGTGGACGTGGACGTGGAAGTGGAGATGGACGTGGACGTGGACGTGGACGTGGACGTGGACATGGACGTGGACGTGGACATGGACGTGGACGTGGACATGGACGTGGACGCGTGGTCGTGGACGTGGACGTGGACGTGGATGTGGTCGTGGACTTGGACGTGGACGTGGACGTGGACGTGGACGTGGACATGGACGTGGACCTGGACGTGGACGTGGACGTGGACGTGGACATGGACGTGGACATGGACGTGGACGTGGACGTGGATGTGGACATTGTCATGGACGTGGACGAAGACGTGGACGTGGACGTGGTCGTGGACGTGAACGTGGACGTGGACGTCGACGTGGACGTGGACATGGACGCGGACGTAGACGTGGATGTGGACATTGTCGTGGACCTGGACATTGTCGTGGACATGGACGTGGATGTGGTCGTGGACGTGGTCGTGGACGTGGACGTGGACATGGACGTGGACGTGGACGTGGACGTGGACGTGGACGTGGACATGGACGTGGACGTGGACGTGGACGTGGACGTGGACGTGGAATTGGACGTGGACGTGGACGTGGACGTGGACCTGGACGTGGACCTGGACGTGGACGTGGACGTGGACGTGGACCTGGACGTGGACGTGGACGTGGACGTGGACATGGACGTGGACATTGTCGTGGACGTGGACATGGACGTCGACATGGTCTTGGACGTGGACGTGGATGTGGACGTGGACGTGGATGTGGACGTGGTCGTGGTCGTGTACGTGGACGAGGACGTGGACGTGGACGTGGTCGTCGACGTGGACGAGGACGTGGACGTGGTTGTGGACGTTGATGTGGACGTGGACGTGGACGTGGACATGGACATGGACGTGGACGTGGACGTGGACGTGGACGTGGACGTGGACATGGACATGGACCTGGACGTGGACGTGGACGTGGACGTGGACGTGGACATGGACATGGACCTGGACGTGGACGTGGACGTGGACATGGACGTGGACATGGACGTGGACATGGACGTGGACATTGTCGTGGACGTGGACGAAGACGTGGACCTGGAAGGGTCGTGGACGTGGACGTGGACGTGGACAAGGACATGGACGGGGACGTGGACGTGGACATTGTCGTGGACGTGGACATTGTCGTGGACGTGGACGTGTTCGTGGATGTGGACGTGGACGTGGACGTGGACATGGACATGGACGTGGACATGGACGTGGACGTAAACGTGGAGGACATGGACGTTGACATGGACGTGGACGTAGACGTGGACGTGGACGTGGACATGGACATGGACATGGACATGGACATGGACGTGGACGTGGACGTGGACGTGGACATGGACGTGGAGATGGACGTGGACGTGGACGTGGACATGAACGTGGAGGTGGACGTGGACGTGGACATGGACGTGGACATGGACGTGGACATGGACGTGGACGTGAACGTGGACGTGGACGTGGACGTGGACATGGACGTGGACGTGGACATGGACGTGGACGTGGACGTGGACGTGGACATGGACGTGGACGTGGACGTGGACATGAACGTGGACGTGGACGTGGACGTGGACGTGGACGACTTGGACGTGGACATGGACGTGGACGTGGACGTGGACGTGGACGTAGACGTGGACATGGACGTGGACGTGGACGTGGACATGGACGTGGACGTGGACGTGGACGTGGAGGACTTGGACGTGGACATGGACATGGACGTGGTTGTGGACGTGGACGTGGACGTTGACGTCGACATGGACGTGGACGTGGACGTGGACGTGGACGTGGACGTGGACGTGGACATGGACGTGGACGTGGACGTGGACGTGGATAGGGAAGTGGACCTGGACGTGGACGTGGACATGGACGTGGACATGGATGTGGACATGGACATGGACGTGGACATGAATGTGGACGTGGACGTGGACGTGGACATGGACGTGGACGTGGACGTGGACGTGGATGTGGACGTGGTCGTGTACGTGGACGAGGACGTGGACGTGGACGTGGTCGTGGACGTGGACGAGGACGTGGACGTGGACGTGGTCGTGGACGTTGATGTGGACGTGGACGTGGACGTGGACATGGACATGGACGTGGACGTGGACGTGGACGTGGACGTGGACGTGGACCTGGACATGGACCTGGACGTGGACATGGACGTGGACATGGACGTGGACATGGACGTGGACGTGGACGTGGACGTGGACATTGTCGTGGACGTGGACGAAGACGTGGACCTGGAAGGGTCGTGGACGTGGACGTGGACGTGGACGTGGACATGGACGGGGACGTGGACGTGGACAATGTCGTGGACCTGGACATTGTCGTGGACGTGGACGTGGACGTGTTCGTGGACGTGGACATGGACGTGGACGTGGACATGGACATGGACGTGGACATGGACGTGGACGTGGACGTGGAGGACATGGACGTTGACATGGACGTGGACGTAGACGTGGACGTGGACGTGGACATGGACATGGACGTGGACGTGGACGTGGACGTGGACATGGACGTGGAGATGGACGTGGACGTGGACGTGGACATGAACGTGGACCTGGACGTGGACGTGGACATGGACGTGAACATGGACGTGGACATGGACGTGGACGTGGACGTGGACATGGACGTGGACGTGGACGTGGACGTGGATGACTTGGACGTAGACATGGACGTGGACGTGGACATGGAGGTGGAGGTGGACGTGGACATGGACGTGGACGTGGACGTCGACGTTTACGTCTACGTGGACGTGGATATGGACGTGGATGTGGACGTGGACGTGGACGTGGACGTGGACGTGGAGGACTTGGACGTGGACATGGACATGGACGTGGACGTGGACGTGGACGTGGACGTTGACGTGGACATGGACGTGGACGTGGACGTGGGCGTGGACATGGACGTGGACGTGGACATGGACGTGGACGTGGACGTGGATAGGGAAGTGGACCTGGACGTGGACGTGGACATGGACGTGGACATGGATGTGGACGTAGACATGGACGTGGACGTTGACGTGGATGTGCACATGGACATTGACATGGACGTGGACGTGGACGTGGACGTGGACGTGGACATGGACGTGGACGTGGACGTGTACGTGGACGTGGACGTGGACGTGGACGTGGACGTAGACGTGGAGGACTTGGACGTGGACGTGGATGTGGACGTGGACGTGGATGTGGACGTGGACGTGGACGTGGAGGTGGACGTGGACGTGGACGTGGCTGTGGACGTGGACGTGGACGTGGAGGACTTGGACGTGGACATGGACATGGACATGGACGTGGACGTGGACGTGGACGTGGACGTTGACGTGGACATGGACGTGGACGTGGACGTGGACGTGGACATGGACATGGACGTGGACATGGACGTGGACGCGGACGTGGATAGGGAAGTGGACCTGGACGTCGACGTGGACATTGACGTGGACATGGATGTGGACGTGAACATGGAAGTGGACATGGATGTGGACGTGGACGTGGACGTGGACGTGGACATGGACGTGGACGTGGACGTGGACGTGGATGTGGACGTGAACGTGTACATAGACGTGGACGTGGACGTGGATGTGGACGTGGACATGGACGTAGACGTGGAGGACTTGGACGTGGACGTGGACGTGGATGTGGACGTGGACGTGGAGGTGGAGGTGGACGTGGACGTGGACATGGACGTGGACGTGGACGTGGACGTGGACATGGACGTGGACGTGGACGTGGACGTGGACATGGATGTGGACGTGGACATTGTCGTGGACGTGGATGTGGTCGTGGACGTGGACGTGGACGTGGGCGTGGACGTGGACGACGTGGACGTGGACGTGGACGTGGACGACGTGGACCTGGACGTGGACGTGGACGTGGACGTGGAAGTGGAGATGGACGTGGACGTGGACGTGGACGTGGACATTGTCGTGGACGTGGACGAAGACGTGGACCTGGAAGGGTCGTGGACGTGGACGTGGACGTGGACGTGGACATGGACGGGGACGTGGACGTGGACATTGTCGTGGACCTGGACATTGTCGTGGACGTGGACGTGTTCGTGGACGTGGACATGGACGTGGACGTGGACATGGACGTAGACGTGGACTTGGACGTGGACGTGGACGTGGATAGGGAAGTGGACCTGGACGTGGACGTGGACATGGACGTGGACATGGACGTGGACGTGGACATGGACGTGGACATGGATGTGGACGTGGACGTAGACGTGGACGTGGACACGGACGTGGACGTGGACGTGGAAGACTTGGACGTGGACATGGACGTGGACGTGGATGTGGACGTGGACGTCGACGTGGAGGTGGACGTGGACCATGGACATGGACGTGGACGTGGACGTGGACGTGGACATGGACGTGGACGTAGACGTGTATATGGACGTGGACGTGGAGGTGGAGGTGGACGTGGACGTGGACATGGACGTGGACGTGGACGTGGACGTGGACATGGACGTGGACGTGGACGTGGACGTGGACATGGATGTGGACGTGGACATTGTCGTGGACGTGGATGTGGTCGTGGACGTGGACGTGGACGTGGGCGTGGACGTGGACGACGTGGACGTGGACGTGGACGTGGACGACGTGGACCTGGACGTGGACGTGGACGTGGACGTGGAAGTGGAGATGGACGTGGACGTGGACGTGGACGTGGACATTGTCGTGGACGTGGACGAAGACGTGGACCTGGAAGGGTCGTGGACGTGGACGTGGACGTGGACGTGGACATGGACGGGGACGTGGACGTGGACATTGTCGTGGACCTGGACATTGTCGTGGACGTGGACGTGTTCGTGGACGTGGACATGGACGTGGACGTGGACATGGACGTAGACGTGGACTTGGACGTGGACGTGGACGTGGATAGGGAAGTGGACCTGGACGTGGACGTGGACATGGACGTGGACATGGACGTGGACGTGGACATGGACGTGGACATGGATGTGGACGTGGACGTAGACGTGGACGTGGACACGGACGTGGACGTGGACGTGGAAGACTTGGACGTGGACATGGACGTGGACGTGGATGTGGACGTGGACGTCGACGTGGAGGTGGACGTGGACCATGGACATGGACGTGGACGTGGACGTGGACGTGGACATGGACGTGGACGTAGACGTGTATATGGACGTGGACGTGGATGTGGACGTAGACGTGGACGTGGACGTGGACGTCGACGTGGACATGGACGTGGACGTGGACGTGTACGTGGACGTGGACGTGGACGTGGACGTGGACATGGACGTGGACGTGGACGTGTACGTGGACGTGGACGTGGACGTGGACGTGGACGTAGACGTGGAGGACTTGGACGTGGACGTGGACGTGGACGTGGATGTGGACGTGGACGTGGACGTGGAGGTGGACGTGGACGTGGACATGGCTGTGGACGTGGACGTGGACGTGGAGGACTTGGACGTGGACATGGACATGGACATGGTCGTAGACGTGGATGTAGACGTAGACGTGGACGTGGACGTGGACATGGACGTGGACGTGGACGTGTACGTGGACGTGGACGTGGACGTGGACGTGGACATGGACGTGGACGTGGACGTGTACGTGGACGTGGACGTGGACGTAGACGTGGAGGACTTGGACGTGGACGTGGACGTGGACGTGGACGTGGATGTGGACGTGGACGTGGACGTGGAGGTGGACGTGGACGTGGACATGGCTGTGGACGTGGACGTGGACGTGGAGGACTTGGACGTCGACATGGACATGGACATGGACGTGGACGTGGACGTGGACGTGGACGTTGACGTGGACATGGACGTGGACGTGGACGTGGACGTGGACATGGACATGGACGTGGACATGGACGTGGACGCGGACGTGGATAGGGAAGTGGACCTGGACGTGGACGTGGACATTGACGTGGACATGGATGTGGACGTGGACATGGAAGTGGACATGGATGTGGACGTGGACGTGGACGTGGACGTGGACATGGACGTGGACGTGGACGTGGACGTGGATGTGGACGTGAACGTGTACATAGACGTGGACGTGAACGTGGATGTGGACGTGGACATGGACGTAGACGTGGAGGACTTGGACGTGGACGTGGACGTGGACGTGGATGTGGACGTGGACGTGGAGGTGGAGGTGGAGGTGGACGTGGACGTGGACGTGGACGTGGACGTGGACGTGGACATGGACGTGGACGTGGACGTGGACGTGGACATGGATGTGGACGTGGACATTGTCGTGGACGTGGATGTGGTCGTGGACGTGGACGTGGACGTGGGCGTGGACGTGGACGACGTGGACGTGGACGTGGACGTGGACGACGTGGACCTGGACGTGGACGTGGACGTGGACGTGGACGTGGAAGTGGAGATGGACGTGGACGTGGACGTGGACGTGGACGTGGACATGGACGTGGACGTGGACATGGACGTGGACGCGTGGTTGTGGACGTGGACGTGGACGTGGACGTGGTCGTGGACGTGGACGTGGACGTGGACGTGGACGTGGACGTGGACATGGACGTGGACCTGGACGTGGACGTGGAAGTGGACGTGGACATGGACGTGGACGTGGACGTGGATGTTGATGTGGACATTGTCGTGGACGTGGACGAAGACGTGGACGTGGTCGTGGACGTGGACGTGGATGTGGACGTCGACGTGGACGTGGACATGGACGTGGACGTAGACGTGGATGTGGACATTGTCGTGGACCTGGACAATGTCGTGGACATGGACGTGGACGTGGTCGTGGACGTGGACGTGGACGTGGTCGTGGACGTGGACGTGGACGTGGACGTGGACGTGGACATGGACATGGACGTGGACGTGGACATGGACGTGGACGTAGACGTGGACGTGGACGTGGACATGGACATGGACATGGACGTGGACGTTGACGTGGACGTGGACGTGGAGGACTTGGACGTGGACATGGACATGGACGTGGACGTGGACGTGGACGTTGACGTGGACATGGACGTGGACGTGGACGTGGACGTGGACATGGACGTGGACGTGGACATGGACGTGGACGTGGACGTGGATAGGGAAGTGGACCTGGACGTGGACTTGGACATGGACGTGGACATGGATGTGGACGTGGACATGGACGTGGACATGGAGGTGGACGTGGACGTGGACGTGGACGTGGACATGGACGTGGACGTGGATGTGGACATGGATGTGCACATGGACATTGACATGGACGTGGACGTGGACGTGGACGTGGACATGGACGTGGACGTGGACGTGTACGTGGACGTGGACGTGGACGTGGACGTGGATGTGGACGTGGACGTGGACATGGAGGTGGACGTGGACGTGGACGTGGACGTGGACATGGAGGTGGACGTGGACGTGGACGTGGACGTGGACGTGGACATGGACGTGGACGTGGACATGGACGTGGACGTGGACGTGGACGTGGACATGGACCTGAACGTGGACGTGGACGTGGACATTGTCGTGGACGTGGACGTGGACGTGGACGTGGACGTGGTCGTGTACGTGGACGTGGACGTGGACGTGGACGACGTGGACCTGGACGTGGACGTGGACGTGGAAGTGGACGTGGACGTGGACGTGGACGTGGAAGTGGAGATGGACGTGGACGTGGACGTGGACGTGGACGTGGACATGGACGTGGACGTGGACATGGACGTGGACGTGGACATGGACGTGGACGCGTGGTCGTGGACGTGGACGTGGACGTGGATGTGGTTGTGGACTTGGACGTGGACGTGGACGTGGACGTGGACGTGGACATGGACGTGGACCTGGACGTGGACGTGGACGTGGACGTGGACATGGACGTGGACATGGACGTGGACGTGGACGTGGATGTGGACATTGTCATGGATGTGGACGAAGACGTGGACGTGGACGTGGTCGTGGACGTGAACGTGGACGTGGACGTCGACGTGGACGTGGACATGGACGCGGACGTAGACGTGGATGTGGACATTGTCGTGGACCTGGACATTGTCGTGGACATGGACGTGGATGTGGTCGTGGACGTGGTCGTGGACGTGGACGTGGACGTGGACGTGGACGTGGACATGGACATGGACGTGGACGTGGACATGGACGTGGACGTAGACGAGGACGTGGACGTGGACATGGACATGGACATGGACGTGGACGTGGACATGGACATGGACATGGACGTGGACGTAGACGTGGACGTGGACATAGACATGGACGTGGACGTGGACGTGGACATGGACGTGGAGATGGACGTGGACGTGGACGTGGACATGAACGTGGACATGGACGTGTAAATGGACGTGGACGTGGTCGTGGACGTGGACATGGACGTGGACATGGACGTGGACGTGGACGTGGACATGAACGTGGACGTGGACGTGGACATGAACGTGAACATGGACGTGGACATGGACGTGGACGTGGACGTGGACGTGGACGTGGACCTGGATGTGGACGTGGACATGGAGATGGACGAGGACGTGGACGTGGACGTGGACGTGGACATGGATGTGGAGGTGGACTTGGACGTGGACATGGACGTGAACGTGGACGTGGACGTGGACGTGGACGTGGACGTGGACGTGGACGTGGACGTGGTCGTGGACGTGGACGTGGACATGGACGTGGACGTGGACTTGGACGTGGACGTGGACGTGGACATGGAGGTGGACGTGGACGTAGAGGTGGAGGACTTGAACGTGGACTGGACGTGGACGTGGACGTGGACGAGGACGTGGACGTGGACATGGACCTGGACGTGGACGTAGACGTGGACGTGGACGTGGCCATGGACGTGGACGTGGACGTGGCCATGGAGGTGGACGTGGACGTGGACGTGGAGGTGGACGTGGACGTGGACGTGGACATGGAGGTGGACGTGGACGTGGACATGGACGTGGACATGGACGTGGACGTGACGTGGACGTGGACATGGACGTGGACGTGGACGTGGAGGTGGAAGTGGACGTGGACGTGGAGGTGGAAGTGGACGTGGACATGGACGTGGACGTGGACGTGGACGTGGACATTGTCGTGGACGTCGACGTGGACGTGGACGTGGACGTGGTCGTGGACGTGGACGTAGACGTGGACGTGGACGACGTGGACCTGGACGTGGACGTGGACGTGGACGTGGAGATGGACGTGGACGTGGACGTGGACGTGGACATGGACGTGGATGTGGACGTAGACGTGGACGTGGACATGGACGTGAACGTAGAAGTGGACATGGACGTTGACGTGGACATGGACGTGGACGTGGAGGACTTGGACATGGACATGGACATGGACGTGGACGTGGACGTGGACGTTGACGTGGACATGGACGAGGACCTGGACGTGGACATGGACGTGGACGTGGATATGGACGTGGACGTGGACGTGGATAGGGAAGTGGACCTGGACGTGGACGTGGACATGGACGTGGACATGGATGTGGACGTGGACATGGATGTGGACATGGATGTGGATGTGGACGTGGACGTGTACGTGGACGTGGACGTCGACGTGGACGTGGACGTGGATGTGGACGTGGACGTGTATATAGACGTGGACGTGGACGTGGATGTGGACGTGGACATGGACGTAGACGTGGAGGACTTGGACGTGGCATGGACGTGGACGTGGATGTGGACGTGGACGTGGACGTGGAGGTGGACGTGGACGTGGACGTGGACGTGGACATGGACGTGGACGTGGATGTAGACGTGGACATGGACGTGAACGTGGACGTGGACGTGGACATTGTCGTGGACGTGGACGTGGACGTGGACGTGGACGTGGACGTGGTCGTGTACGTGGACATGGACGTGGACGTGGACGACGTGGACCTGGATGTGGACGTGGACGTGGACGTGGACGTGGACGTGGAAGTGGAGATGGACGTGGACGTGGACGTGGACGTGGACATGGACGTGGACATGGACGTGGACATGGACGAGGACGCGTGGTCATGGACGTGGACGTGGACGTGGTCGTGGACTTGGACGTGGACGTGGACGTGGACGTGGACATGGACGTGGACCAGGACGTGTACGTGGACGTGGACGTGGACATGGACGTGGACATGGACGTGGACGTGGACGTGGATGTGGACATTGTCGTGGACGTGGACGAAGACGTGGACGTGGACGTGGTCGTGGACGTGGACGTGGACGTCGACGTGGACGTGGACGTGGACGTGGACGTAGACGTGGATGTGGACATTGTCGTGGACTTGGACATTGTCGTGGACATGGACGTGGACGTGGTCGTGGACGTGGACGTGGTCGTGGACGTGGACGTGGACGTGGACGTGGACGTGGACATGGACATGGACGTGGACGTGGACATGGACGTGGACGTAGACGTGGACGTGGACGTGGACATTGACATGGACATGGACGTGGACGTGGACATGGACATGGACATGCACGTGGACGTAGACGTGGACGTGGACATGGACATGGACATGGACGTGGACGTGGACATGGACGTGGAGATGGACGTGGACGTGGACGTGGACATGAACGTGGACGTGGACGTGGACATGGACGTGGACGTGGTCGTGGACGTGGACGTGGACGTGGACATGGACGTGGACGTGGACGTGGACATGAACGTGGACGTGGACGTGGACATGAACGTGAACATGGACGTGGACGTGGACGTGGACGTGGACATGGACGGGGACGTGGACATGGAGGTGGATGAGGACGTGGACGTGGACGTGGACGTGGACGTGGACGTGGACGTGGACATGGACGTGGACGTGGACGTGGACATGGACGTGAACGTGGACGTGGACGTGGACGTGGACCTGGACCTGGACGTGGACGTGGACGTGGTCGTGGACGTGGACGTAGACATGGATGTGGACGTGGACTTGGACGTGGACGTGGACGTGGACGTGGACGTGGTTGTGGACGTGGACGTGGACATGGACGTGGATTTGGACATAGAGATGGAGGACTTGAATGTGGACTGGACGTCGACGTGGACGTGGACGAGGACGTGGACGTGGACATGGACCTGGACGTGGACGTGGACGTGGACGTGGCCATGGACGTGGACGTGGACGTGGACATGGACGTGGACGTGGACGTGGACGTGGACATGGACGTGGACGTGGACGTGGACGTGGACGTGGACATGGAGGTGGACGTGGACGTGGACATGGACGTGGACGTGGACGTGGACGTGGACGTGGACATGGACGTGGACGTGGACGTGGACGTTGAGGTGGAAGTGGACGTGGACATGGACGTGGACGTGGACGTAGACATTGTCGTGGACGTCGACGTGGACGTGGACGTGGACGTGGTCGTAGACGTGTATCTGGACGTGGACGTGGACGTGGACGTGGACGTGGACCTTCTCGTGGACGTGGACGTGGACGTGGACGTGGACGTGGTCGTGGACGTGGACGTGGACGTGGACGTGGACGTAAATGTGGACGACGTGGACGTGGACGTGGTCGTGGACGTGGACGTGGAGATGGATGTGGACGTGGACGTGGACGTGGACGTCGACGTGGACGTGGACGTGGAGATGGACGTGGACTTGGACGTGGACGTGGACGTGGATAGGGAAGTGGACCTGGACGTGGACGTGGACATGGACGTGGACATGGACGTGGACGTGGACATGGACGTGGACATTGATGTGGACGTGGACGTAGACGTGGACGTGGACACGGACGTGGACGTGGACGTGGAAGACTTGGACGTGGACATGGACGTGGACGTGGATGTGGACGTGGACGTCACCGTGGAGGTGGACGTGGACCATGGACATGGACGTGGACGTGGACGTGGACATGGACGTGGACGTAGACGTGTATATGGACGTGGACGTGGATGTGGACGTAGACGTGGACGTGGACGTGGACGTCGACGTGGACGTAGACGTGGAGGACTAGGACGTGGACGTCGACGTCGACGTGGACGTGGACGTGGGCGTGGATGTGGACGTGGAGGGGGAGGTGGACGTGGACGTGGACGTGGACGTGGACGTGGAGGTGGACGTGGACGTGGACGTGGACGTGGACATGGAAGTGGACATGGACGTGGACGTGGACGTGATCGTGGACGTGGACGTGGACGTGGTCGTGGACGTGGACGTGGACATGGACGTGGACGTGGACGTGGATGTGGACATGGACATGGACCTGGACGTGGACGTGGACGTGGAGGTGGACGTGGACGTGGACGTGGACGACGTGGACCTGGACGTGGACGTGGACGTGGACGTGGATGTGGACGTGGAGGTGGACGTGGACGTGGACGTGGACGTGGACGTGGACATGGACGTGGACGTGGACGTGGACATGGACGTGAACGTGGACATGGTTGTGGACGTGGACATGGACGTGGACATGGACGTGGACGTGGACGTGGACGTGGGGACATAGACGTGAACGTGGACGTGGACGTGGAAGTGGACGTGGACATGGACGTGGACGTGGACGTGGAGGACTTGGACGTGGACATGGACGTGGATGTGGACGTGGACGTGGACATGGACGTGGACATGGACGTGGACGTGAACGTGGACGTGAACGTGGACGTGGACATGGACGTGGACGTGGACGTGGACGTGGACGTGGACGTGGACCTGGACGTGGACGTGGACGTGGACGTGGTTGTGGACGTGGACGTGGACATGGACGTGGACGTGGACGTAGAGGTGGAGGACTTGAACGTGGACTGGACGTGGACGTGAACGTGGACATGGACCTGGACGTGGACGTGGACGTGGATGTGGACGTGGACGTGGACGTGGTCGTGGACGTGGACGTGGACGTGGACATGGACGTGGACGTGGACGTGGACGTGGACGTGGTTGTGGACAAGGACGTGGACATGGACGTGGACGTGGACGTAGAGATGGAGGACTTGAACTTCGACTGGACGTGTACGTGGACGTGGACGTGAACGTAGACATGGACGTGGACGTGGACGTGGACGTGGACATGGACATGGACGTGGACGTGGACATGGACGGGGACGTGGACGTCGAAGTGGACGTGGACATGAAGATGGACGTGGACGTGGACATGGACGTGGACGTGGACGTGGACATGGACATGGATGTGGACATGGACGTGGACGTGGACGTGGACGTGGACGTGGAGGTGGACGTGGACGTGGACATGGACGTGGACGTGGACGTGGACGTGGACGTGGACATTGTCATGGACGTCGACATGGACATGGACGTGGAGGTGGTCGTGGACGTTGACATGGACGTGGACGTGGACATGGAGGTGGACGAGGACGTGGACGTGGATGTGGACGTGGATGTGGACGTGGACATGGATGTGGACGTGGACGTGGACATGGACGTGAACGTGGACGTGGACGTGGACGTGGACGTGGACGTGGACATGAACGTGGAAGTGGACGTGGACATGAACGTGAACATGGACGTGGACATGGACGTGGACGTGGATGTGGACGTGGACGTGGACCTGGACGTGGACGTGGACATGGAGGTGGACGAGGACGTGGACGTGGACGTGGACGTGGACGTGGACGTGAACGTGGACGTGGACGTGGATGTGGACGTGGACGTGGACGTGGACGTGGACGTAGTCGTGGACGTGGACGTGGACATGGATGTGGACGTGGACTTGGACGTGGACGTCGACGTGGTTGTGGACGTGGACGTGGACATGGAGGTGGACATGGACGTAGAGGTGGACATGGATGTGGTCGTGGACTGGACGTGGACGTGGACGTGGACGTGGTTGTGGACGTGGACGTGGACATGGACGTGGATTTGGACATAGAGATGGAGGACTTGAACGTGGACTGGACGTCGACGTGGACGTGGACGAGGACGTGGACGTGGACATGGACCTGGACGTGGACGTGGACGTGGACGTGGCCATGGACGTGAACGTGGACGTGGACATGGACGTGGACGTGGACGTGGACGTGGACATGGACGTGGACGTGGACGTGGACATGGAGGTGGACGTGGACGTGGACATGGACGTGGACGTGGACGTGGACGTGGACGTGGACAGGGACGTGGACATGGACGTGGACGTTGAGGTGGAAGTGGACGTGGACATGGACGTGGACGTGGACGTAGACATTGTCGTGGACGTCGACGTGGACGTGGACGTGGACGTGGTCGTAGACGTGGATGTAGACGTAGACGTGGACGTGGACGTGGACATGGACGTGGACGTGGACGTGTACGTGGACGTGGACGTGGACGTGGACGTGGACATGGACGTGGACGTGGACGTGTACGTGGACGTGGACGTGGACGTGGACGTGGACGTAGACGTGGAGGACTTGGACGTGGACGTGGACGTGGACGTGGACGTGGACGTGGATGTGGACGTGGACGTGGACGTGGAGGTGGACGTGGACGTGGACATGGCTGTGGACGTGGACGTGGACGTGGAGGACTTGGACGTGGACATGGACATGGACATGGACGTGGACGTGGACGTGGACGTGGACGTTGACGTGGACATGGACGTGGACGTGGACGTGGACGTGGACATGGACATGGACGTGGACATGGACGTGGACGCGGACGTGGATAGGGAAGTGGACCTGGACGTGGACGTGGACATTGACGTGGACATGGATGTGGACGTGGACATGGAAGTGGACATGGATGTGGACGTGGACGTGGACGTGGACGTGGACATGGACGTGGACGTGGACGTGGACGTGGATGTGGACGTGAACGTGTACATAGACGTGGACATGGACGTAGACGTGGAGGACTTGGACGTGGACGTGGACGTGGACGTGGATGTGGACGTGGACGTGGAGGTGGACGTGGACGTGGACGTGGACGTGGACGTGGACGTGGACGTGGACATGGACGTGGACGTGGACGTGGACATCGACGTGGACGTGGACATTGTCGTGGACGTGGATGTGGTCGTGGACGTGGACGTGGACGTGGGCGTGGACGTGGAGGACGTGGACGTGGACGTGGACGTGGACGACGTGGACCTGGACGTGGACGTGGACGTGGACGTGGACGTGGAAGTGGAGATGGACGTGGACGTGGACGTGGACGTGGACGTGGACATGGACGTGGACGTGGACATGGACGTGGACGCGTGGTTGTGGACGTGGACGTGGACGTGGACGTGGTCGTGGACTTGGACGTGGACGTGGACGTGGACGTGGACGTGGACATGGACGTGGACCTGGACGTGGACGTGGAAGTGGACGTGGACATGGACGTGGACGTGGACGTGGACGTTGATGTGGACATTGTCGTGGACGTGGACGAAGACGTGGACGTGGTCGTGGACGTGGACGTGGATGTGGACGTCGACGTGGACGTGGACATGGACGTGGACGTAGACGTGGATGTGGACATTGTCGTGGACCTGGACATTGTCGTGGACATGGACGTGGACGTGGTCGTGGACGTGGACGTGGTCGTGGACGTGGACGTGGACGTGGACGTGGACATGGACATGGACGTGGACGTGGACATGGACGTGGACGTAGACGTGGACGTGGACGTGGACATGGACATGGACATGGACGTGGACGTTGACGTGGACGTGGACGTGGAGGACTTGGACGTGGACATGGACATGGACGTGGACGTGGACGTGGACGTTGACGTGGACATGGACGTGGACGTGGACGTGGACGTGGACATGGACGTGGACGTGGACATGGACGTGGACGTGGACGTGGATAGGGAAGTGGACCTGGACGTGGACGTGGACATGGACGTGGACATGGATGTGGACGTGGACATGGACGTGGACATGGATGTGGACGTGGACGTGGACGTGGACGTGGACATGGACGTGGACGTGGATGTGGACATGGATGTGCACATGGACATTGACATGGACGTGGACGATGACGTGGACGTGGACGTGGACATGGACGTGGACGTGGACGTGTACGTGGACGTGGACGTGGACGTGGACATGGATGTGGACGTGGACGTGGACATGGAGGTGGACGTGGACGTGGACGTGGACGTGGACATGGAGGTGGACGTGGACGTGGACGTGGACGTGGACGTGGACATGGACGTGGACGTGGACATGGACGTGGACGTGGACGTGGACGTGGACATGGACGTGAACGTGGACGTGGACGTGGACATTGTCGTGGACGTGGACGTGGACGTGGACGTGGACGTGGTCGTGTACGTGGACGTGGACGTGGACGTGGACGTGGACGTGGACGACGTGGACCTGGACGTGGACGTGGACGTGGAAGTGGACGTGGACGTGGACGTGGACGTGGAAGTGGAGATGGACGTGGACGTGGACGTGGAGGTGGACGTGGACGTGGACATGGACGTGGATGTGGACATGGACGTGGACGTGGACATGGACGTGGACGCGTGGTCGTGGACGTGGACGTGGACGTGGATGTGGTCGTGGACTTGGACGTGGACGTGGACGTGGACGTGGACGTGGACGTGGACATGGACGTGGACCTGGACGTGGACGTGGACGTGGACGTGGACATGGACGTGGACATGGACGTGGACGTGGACGTGGATGTGGACATTGTCATGGACGTGGACGAAGACGTGGACGTGGACGTGGTCGTGGACGTGAACGTGGACGTGGACGTCGACGTGGACGTGGACATGGACGCGGACGTAGACGTGGATGTGGACATTGTCGTGGACCTGGACATTGTCGTGGACATGGACGTGGAAGTGGTCGTGGACGTGGTCGTGGACGTGGACGTGGACGTGGACGTGGACGTGGACATGGACATGGACGTGGACGTGGACGTGGACATGGACGTGGACGTAGACGAGGATGTGGACGTGGACATGGACATGGACATGGACGTGGACGTGGACATGGACATGGACATGGACGTGGACGTAGACGTGGACGTGGACATAGACATGGACGTGGACGTGGACGTGGACATGGACGTGGAGATGGACGTGGACGTGGACGTGGACATGAACGTGGACATGGACGTGTAAATGGACGTGGACGTGGTCGTGGACGTGGACATGGACGTGGACATGGACGTGGACGTGGATGTGGACATGAACGTGGACGTGGACGTGGACATGAACGTGAACATGGACGTGGACATGGACGTGGACGTGGACGTGGACGTGGACGTGGACCTGGATGTGGACGTGGACATGGAGGTGGACGAGGACGTGGACGTGGACGTGGACGTGGACGTGGACGTGGACATGGATGTGGATGTGGACTTGGACGTGGACATGGACGTGAACGTGGACGTGGACGTGGACGTGGACGTGGACGTGGACGTGGTCGTGGACGTGGACGTGGACATGGACGTGGACGTGGACTTGGACGTGGACGTGGACGTGGACATGGAGGTGGACGTGGACGTAGAGGTGGAGGACTTGAACGTGGACTGGACGTGGACGTGGACGTGGACAAGGACGTGGACGTGGACATGGACCTGGACGTGGACGTAGACGTGGACGTGGACGTGGCCATGGACGTGGACGTGGACGTGGCCATGGACGTGGACGTGGACGTGGACGTGGAGGTGGACGTGGACGTGGACGTGGACGTGGACATGGAGGTGGACGTGGACGTGGACATGGACATGGACATGGACGTGGACGTGGACGTGGACGTGGACATGGACGTGGACGTGGACGTGGAGGTGGAAGTGGACGTGGACGTGGACGTGGAGGTGGAAGTGGACGTGGACATGGACGTGGACGTGGACGTGGACGTGGACATTGTCGTGGACGTCGACGTGGACGTGGACGTGGTCGTGGACGTGGACGTAGACGTGGACGTGGACGTGGACGACGTGGACCTAGACGTGGACGTGGACGTGGACGTGGAGATGGACGTGGACGTGGACGTGGACGTGGACATGGACGTGGATGTGGACGTAGACGTGGACGTGGACATGGACGTGAACGTAGAAGTGGACATGGACGTTGACGTGGACATGGATGTGGACGTGGAGGACTTGGACATGGACATGGACATGGACGTGGACGTGGACGTGGACGTTGACGTGGACATGGACGAGGACCTGGACGTGGACATGGACGTGGACGTGGACATGGACGTGGACGTGGATAGGGAAGTGGACCTGGACGTGGACGTGGACATGGACGTGGACATGGATGTGGACGTGGACATGGATGTGGACATGGATGTGGATGTGGACGTGGACGTGTACGTGGACGTGGACGTCGACGTGGACGTGGACGTGGATGTGGACGTGGACGTGTATATAGACGTGGACGTGGACGTGGATGTGGACGTGGACATGGACGTAGACGTGGAGGACTTGGACGTGGCATGGACGTGGACGTGGATGTGGACGTGGACGTGGACGTGGAGGTGGACGTGGACGTGGACGTGGACGTGGACATGGACGTGGACGTGGACGTGGACGTGGACATGGACGTGAACGTGGACGTGGACGTGGACATTGTCGTGGACGTGGACCTGGACGTGGACGTGGACGTGGTCGTGTACGTGGACATGGACGTGGACGTGGACGACGTGGACCTGGACGTGGACGTGGACGTGGACGTGGACGTGGATGTGGACGTGGACGTGGACGTGGAAGTGGAGATGGACGTGGACGTGGACGTGGACGTGGACATGGACGTGGACGTGGACATGGACGTGGACGTGGACATGGACGAGGACGCGTGGTCATGGACGTGGACGTGGACGTGGACGTGGTCGTGGACTTGGACGTGGACGTGGACGTGGACGTGGACGTGGACATGGACGTGGACCAGGACGTGTACGTGGACGTGGACGTGGACATGGACGTGGACATGGACGTGGACGTGGACGTGGATGTGGACATTGTCGTGGACGTGGACGAAGACGTGGACGTGGACGTGGTCGTGGACGTGGACGTGGACGTCGACGTGGACGTGGACATGGACGTGGACGTAGACGTGGATGTGGACATTGTCGTGGACCTGGACATTGTCGTGGACATGGACGTGGACGTGGTCGTGGACGTGGACGTGGTCGTGGACGTGGACGTGGACGTGGACGTGGACATAGACATGGACGTGGACGTGGACGTGGACGTAGACGTGGACGTGGACGTGGACATTGACATGGACATGGACGTGGACGTGGACATGGACATGGACATGCACGTGGACGTAGACGTGGACGTGGACATGGACATGGACATGGACGTGGACGTGGATATGGACGTGGAGATGGACGTGGACGTGGACGTGGACATGAACGTGGACGTGGACGTGGACATGGACGTGGACGTGGTCGTGGACGTGGACGTGGACGTGGACATGGACGTGGACGTGGACGTGGACATGAACGTGGACGTGGACGTGGACATGAACGTGAACATGGACGTGGACGTGGACGTGGACGTGGACATGGACGGGGACGTGGACATGGAGGTGGATGAGGACGTGGACGTGGACGTGGACGTGGACGTGGACGTGGACATGGACGTGGACGTGGACGTGGACATGGACGTGAACGAGGACGTGGACGTGGACGTGGACCTGGACGTGGACGTGGACGTGGTCGTGGACGTGGACGTAGACATGGATGTGGACGTGGACTTGGACGTGGACGTGGACGTGGACGTGGACGTGGTTGTGGACGTGGACGTGGACATGGACGTGGATTTGGACATAGAGATGGAGGACTTGAATGTGGACTGGACGTCGACGTGGACGTGGACGAGGACGTGGACGTGGACATGGACCTGGACGTGGACGTGGACATGGACGTGGCCATGGACGTGGACGTGGACGTGGACATGGACATGGACGTGGACGTGGACGTGGACGTGGACGTGGACGTGGACGTGGACGTGGACATGGAGGTGGACGTGGACGTGGACATGGACGTGGACGTGGACGTGGACGTGGACGTGGACATGGACGTGGACGTGGACGTGGACGTTGAGGTGGAAGTGGACGTGGACATGGACGTGGACGTGGACGTAGACATTGTCGTGGACGTCGACGTGGACGTGGACGTGGACGTGGACGTGGACGTGGACGTGGGGACATAGACGTGAACGTGGACGTGGACGTGGACGTGGACGTGGAGATGGACGTGGACGTGGACGTGGAGGACTTGGACGTGGACATGGACGTGGATGTGGACGTGGACGTGGACATGGACGTGGACATGGACGTGGACGTGGACGTGAACGTGGACGTGGACATGGACGTGGACGTGGACGTGGACGTGGACGTGGACGTGGACATGGACGTGGACGTGGACGTGGACGTGGTTGTGGACGTGGACGTGGACATGGACGTGGACGTGGACGTAGAGGTGGAGGACTTGAACGTGGACTGGACGTGGACGTGAACGTGGACATGGACCTGGACGTGGACGTGGACGTGGATGTGGACGTGGACGTGGACGTGGTCGTGGACGTGGACGTGGACGTGGACATGGACGTGGACGTGGACGTGGACGTGGAGGTGGTTGTAGACAAGGACGTGGACATGGACGTGGACGTGGACGTAGAGATGGAGGACTTGAACTTCGACTGGACGTGTACGTGGACGTGGACGTGAACGTAGACATGGACGTGGACGTGGACGTGGACGTGGACATGGACATGGACGTGGACGTGGACATGGACGTGGACGTGGACGTCGAAGTGGACGTGGACATGGAGATGGACGTGGACGTGGACATGGACGTGGACGTGGACATGGACATGGATGTGGACATGGACGTGGACGTGGACGTGGACGTGGACGTGGAGGTGGACGTGGACGTGGACATGGACGTGGACGTGGATGTGGACGTGGACATTGTCATGGACGTCGACATGGACATGGACGTGGACGTGGTCGTGGACGTTGACATGGACGTGGACGTGGACATGGAGGTGGACGAGGACGTGGACGTGGATGTGGACGTGGATGTGGACGTCGACATGGATGTGGACGTGGACGTGGACATGGACGTGAACGTGGACGTGGACGTGGACGTGGACGTGGACGTGGACATGAACGTGGAAGTGGACGTGGACATGAACGTGAACAAGGACGTGGACATGGACGTGGACGTCGACGTGGACGTGGACGTGGACCTGGACGTGGACGTGGACATGGAGGTGGACGAGGACGTGGACGTGGACGTGGACGTGGACGTGGACGTGGACGTGAACGTGGACGTGGACGTGGAGGTGGACGTGGACGTGGACGTGGACGTAGTCGTGGACGTGGACGTGGACATGGATGTGGACGTGGACTTGGACGTGGACGTCGACGTGGTTGTGGACGTGGACGTGGACATGGAGGTGGACATGGACGTAGAGGTGGACATGGATGTGGTCGTGGACTGGACGTGGACGTGGACGTGGACGTGGTTGTGGACGTGGACGTGGACATGGACGTGGATTTGGACATAGAGATGGAGGACTTGAACGTGGACTGGACGTCGACGTGGACGTGGACGAGGACGTGGACGTGGACATGGACCTGGACGTGGACGTGGACGTGGACGTGGCCATGGACGTGGACGTGGACGTGGACATGGACGTGGACGTGGACGTGGACGTGGACATGGACGTGGACGTGGACGTGGACATGGAGGTGGACGTGGACGTGGACATGGACGTGGACGTGGACGTGGACGTGGACGTGGACAGGGACGTGGACGTGGACGTGGACGTTGAGGTGGAAGTGGACGTGGACATGGACGTGGACGTGGACGTAGACATTGTCGTGGACGTCGACGTGGACGTGGACGTGGACGTGGTTGTAGACGTGGATGTAGACGTAGACGTGGACGTGGACGACGTGGACCTGGACGTGGACGTGGACGTGGATGTGGACGTGGACGTGGAGATGGACGTGAACGTGGACGTGGACGTGGACGTGGACGAGGATGTGGACATGGACGTGAACGTGGACATAGACGTGGACGTGGAGGTGGACATGGACGTGGACGTGGACGTGGACGTGGACGTGGACATGGACGTGGACGTGGACGTGGACATGGATGTCGACGTGGTCGTGGACATGGACGTGGACGTGGACGTGGACGTGGATGTGGACGTGGAGGGCTTGGACGTGGACATGGACATGGACGTGGACGTGGACTTGGACATGGACGTGGACGTTGACATGGACATGGACGTGGACGTGGACGTGGACGTGGACATGGACGTGGACGTGGACGTGGACGTGGATAGGGAAGTGGACCTGGACGTGGATGTGGACATGGACGTGGACATGGATGTGGACGTGGACATGGACATGGACATGGATGTGGACGTGAACGTGGACGTGGACGTGGACATGGACGTGGACGTGGACATGGACGTGGATGTGGACATGGACATGGACATGGACGTGGACGTGGACGTGGACGTGGACCTTCTCGTGGACGTGGACGTGGACGTTGACGTGGACGTGGTCGTGGACGTGGACGTGGACGTGGACGTGGACGTAAACGTGTACGTGGACGTGGAGATGGACGTGGACATGGATGTGGACGTGGACATGGACGTGGACATGGATGTGGACGTGGACGTGGACGTGGACATGGACGTGGACGTGGACGTGGACGTGGATGTCGACATGGACATGGACATGGACGTGGACGTGGACGTGGACGTGGACGTGGACCTTCTCGTGGACGTGGACGTGGACGTGGACGTGGACGTGGACGTGGACGTGGTCGTGGACGTGGACGTGGACGTGGACGTAAATGTGGACGACGTGGACGTGGACGTGGTCATGGACGTGGACGTGGAGATGGATGTGGACGTGGACGTGGATGTGGATGTCGACGTGGACGTGGACGTGGACGTGGAGATGGACGTGGACTTGGACGTGGACGTGGACGTGGATAGGGAAGTGGACCTGGACGTGGACGTGGACATGGACGTGGACATGGACGTGGACGTGGACATGGACGTGGACATGGATGTGGACGTGGACGTAGACGTGGACGTGGACACGGAGGTGGACGTGGACGTGGAAGACTTGGACGTGGACATGGACGTGGACGTGGACGTGGACGTGGACGTGGACATGGACGTGGACGTAGACGTCTATGTGGACGTGGACGTGGATGTCGACGTAGACGTGGACGTGGACGTGGACGTCGACGTGGACGTAGACGTGGAGGACTAGGACGTGGACGTGGACGTCGACGTGGACGTGGACGTGGGCGTGGATGTGGACGTGGAGGTGGAGGTGGACGTGGACGTGGACGTGGACGTGGAGGTGGACATGGACGTGGACGTGGACGTGGACGTGGACGTGGACGTGATCGTGGACGTGGACGTGATCGTGGTCGTGGACGTGGACGTGGTCGTGGACGTGGACGTGGACATGGACGTGGACGTGGACGTGGATGTGGACATGGACATGGACCTGGACGTGGACATGGACGTGGAGGTGGACGTGGACCTGGACGTGGACGTGGACGTGGACGTGGACGTGGAGATGGACGTGGACGTGGACGTGGACGTGGATATGGACGTGGATGTGGACGTGGACGTGGACGTGGACGTGGACATGGACGTGGACGTGGACGTGGACATGGACGTGAACGTGGACATGGTTGTGGACGTGGACGTGGACGTGGACATGGACGTGGACGTGGACGTGGACGTGGACGTGGACGTGGGGACATAGACGTGAACGTGGACGTGGACATGGACGTGGACATGGACGTGGACATGGACGTGGACGTGGACGTGGACGTGGACATTGTCGTGGACGTGGACGAAGACGTGGACCTGGAAGGGTCGTGGACGTGGACGTGGACGTGGACGTGGACATGGACGGGGACGTGGACGTGGACAATGTCGTGGACCTGGACATTGTCGTGGACGTGGACGTGGACGTGTTCGTGGACGTGGACATGGACGTGGACGTGGACATGGACATGGACGTGGACATGGACGTGGACGTGGACGTGGAGGACATGGACGTTGACATGGACGTGGACGTAGACGTGGACGTGGACGTGGACATGGACATGGACGTGGACGTGGACGTGGACGTGGACATGGACGTGGAGATGGACGTGGACGTGGACGTGGACATGAACGTGGACCTGGACGTGGACGTGGACATGGACGTGAACATGGACGTGGACATGGACGTGGACGTGGACGTGGACATGGACGTGGACGTGGACGTGGACGTGGATGACTTGGACGTAGACATGGACGTGGACGTGGACATGGAGGTGGAGGTGGACGTGGACATGGACGTGGACGTGGACGTCGACGTTTACGTCTACGTGGACGTGGATATGGACGTGGATGTGGACGTGGACGTGGACGTGGACGTGGACGTGGAGGACTTGGACGTGGACATGGACATGGACGTGGACGTGGACGTGGACGTGGACGTTGACGTGGACATGGACGTGGACGTGGACGTGGGCGTGGACATGGACGTGGACGTGGACATGGACGTGGACGTGGACGTGGATAGGGAAGTGGACCTGGACGTGGACGTGGACATGGACGTGGACATGGATGTGGACGTAGACATGGACGTGGACGTTGACGTGGATGTGCACATGGACATTGACATGGACGTGGACGTGGACGTGGACGTGGACGTGGACATGGACGTGGACGTGGACGTGTACGTGGACGTGGACGTGGACGTGGACGTGGACGTAGACGTGGAGGACTTGGACGTGGACGTGGATGTGGACGTGGACGTGGATGTGGACGTGGACGTGGACGTGGAGGTGGACGTGGACGTGGACGTGGCTGTGGACGTGGACGTGGACGTGGAGGACTTGGACGTGGACATGGACATGGACATGGACGTGGACGTGGACGTGGACGTGGACGTTGACGTGGACATGGACGTGGACGTGGACGTGGACGTGGACATGGACATGGACGTGGACATGGACGTGGACGCGGACGTGGATAGGGAAGTGGACCTGGACGTCGACGTGGACATTGACGTGGACATGGATGTGGACGTGGACATGGAAGTGGACATGGATGTGGACGTGGACGTGGACGTGGACGTGGACATGGACGTGGACGTGGACGTGGACGTGGATGTGGACGTGAACGTGTACATAGACGTGGACGTGGACGTGGATGTGGACGTGGACATGGACGTAGACGTGGAGGACTTGGACGTGGACGTGGACGTGGACGTGGATGTGGACGTGGACGTGGAGGTGGAGGTGGACGTGGACGTGGACATGGACGTGGACGTGGACGTGGACGTGGACATGGACGTGGACGTGGACGTGGACGTGGACATGGATGTGGACGTGGACATTGTCGTGGACGTGGATGTGGTCGTGGACGTGGACGTGGACGTGGGCGTGGACGTGGACGACGTGGACGTGGACGTGGACGACGTGGACCTGGACGTGGACGTGGACGTGGACGTGGAAGTGGAGATGGACGTGGACGTGGACGTGGACGTGGACATTGTCGTGGACGTGGACGAAGACGTGGACCTGGAAGGGTCGTGGACGTGGACGTGGACGTGGACGTGGACATGGACGGGGACGTGGACGTGGACATTGTCGTGGACCTGGACATTGTCGTGGACGTGGACGTGTTCGTGGACGTGGACATGGACGTGGACGTGGACATGGACGTAGACGTGGACTTGGACGTGGACGTGGACGTGGATAGGGAAGTGGACCTGGACGTGGACGTGGACATGGACGTGGACATGGACGTGGACGTGGACATGGACATGGACATGGATGTGGACGTGGACGTAGACGTGGACGTGGACACGGACGTGGACGTGGACGTGGAAGACTTGGACGTGGACATGGACGTGGACGTGGATGTGGACGTGGACGTCGACGTGGAGGTGGACGTGGACCATGGACATGGACGTGGACGTGGACGTGGACGTGGACATGGACGTGGACGTAGACGTGTATATGGACGTGGACGTGGATGTGGACGTAGACGTGGACGTGGACGTGGACGTCGACGTGGACATGGACGTGGACGTGGACGTGTACGTGGACGTGGACGTGGACGTGGACGTGGACATGGACGTGGACGTGGACGTGTACGTGGACGTGGGCGTGGACGTGGACGTGGACGTAGACGTGGAGGACTTGGACGTGGACGTGGACGTGGACGTGGATGTGGACGTGGACGTGGACGTGGAGGTGGACGTGGACGTGGACATGGCTGTGGACGTGGACGTGGACGTGGAGGACTTGGACGTGGACATGGACATAGACATGGTCGTAGACGTGGATGTAGACGTAGACGTGGACGTGGACGTGGACATGGACGTGGACGTGGACGTGTACGTGGACGTGGACGTGGACGTGGACGTGGACATGGACGTGGACGTGGACGTGTACGTGGACGTGGACGTGGACGTAGACGTGGAGGACTTGGACGTGGACGTGGACGTGGACGTGGACGTGGATGTGGACGTGGACGTGGACGTGGAGGTGGACGTGGACGTGGACATGGCTGTGGACGTGGACGTGGACGTGGAGGAATTGGACGTCGACATGGACATGGACATGGACGTGGACGTGGACGTGGACGTGGACGTTGACGTGGACATGGACGTGGACGTGGACGTGGACGTGGACATGGACATGGACGTGGACATGGACGTGGACGCGGACGTGGATAGGGAAGTGGACCTGGACGTGGACGTGGACATTGACGTGGACATGGATGTGGACGTGGACATGGAAGTGGACATGGATGTGGACGTGGACGTGGACGTGGACGTGGACATGGACGTGGACGTGGACGTGGACGTGGATGTGGACGTGAACGTGTACATAGACGTGGACGTGAACGTGGATGTGGACGTGGACATGGACGTAGACGTGGAGGACTTGGACGTGGACGTGGACGTGGACGTGGATGTGGACGTGGACGTGGAGGTGGAGGTGGACGTGGACGTGGACGTGGACGTGGACGTGGACGTGGACATGGACGTGGACGAGGACGTGGACGTGGACATGGATGTGGACGTGGACATTGTCGTGGACGTGGATGTGGTCGTGGACGTGGACGTGGACGTGGGCGTGGACGTGGACGACGTGGACGTGGACGTGGACGTGGACGACGTGGACCTGGACGTGGACGTGGACGTGGACGTGGACGTGGAAGTGGAGATGGACGTGGACGTGGACGTGGACGTGGACGTGGACATGGACGTGGACGTGGACATGGACGTGGACGCGTGGTTGTGGACGTGGACGTGGACGTGGACGTGGTCGTGGACTTGGACGTGGACGTGGACGTGGACGTGGACGTGGACATGGACGTGGACCTGGACGTGGACGTGGAAGTGGACGTGGACATGGACGTGGACGTGGACGTGGACGTTGATGTGGACATTGTCGTGGACGTGGACGAAGACGTGGACGTGGTCGTGGACGTGGACGTGGATGTGGACGTCGACGTGGACGTGGACATGGACGTGGACGTAGACGTGGATGTGGACATTGTCGTGGACCTGGACAATGTCGTGGACATGGACGTGGACGTGGTCGTGGACGTGGACGTGGACGTGGTCGTGGACGTGGACGTGGACGTGGACGTGGACGTGGACATGGACATGGACGTGGACGTGGACATGGACGTGGACGTAGACGTGGACGTGGACGTGGACATGGACATGGACATGGACGTGGACGTTGACGTGGACGTGGACGTGGAGGACTTGGACGTGGACATGGACATGGACGTGGACGTGGACGTGGACGTTGACGTGGACATGGACGTGGACGTGGACGTGGACGTGGACATGGACGTGGACGTGGACATGGACGTGGACGTGGACGTGGATAGGGAAGTGGACCTGGACGTGGACGTGGACATGGACGTGGACATGGATGTGGACGTGGACATGGACGTGGACATGGATGTGGACGTGGACGTGGACGTGGACGTGGACATGGACGTGGACGTGGATGTGGACATGGATGTGCACATGGACATTGACATGGACGTGGACGTGGACGTGGACGTGGACATGGACGTGGACGTGGACGTGTACGTGGACGTGGACGTGGACGTGGACGTGGATGTGGACGTGGACGTGGACATGGAGGTGGACGTGGACGTGGACGTGGACGTGGACATGGAGGTGGACGTGGACGTGGACGTGGACGTGGACATGGACGTGGACGTGGACATGGACGTGGACGTGGACGTGGACGTGGACATGGACCTGAACGTGGACGTGGACGTGGACATTGTCGTGGACGTGGACGTGGACGTGGACGTGGACGTGGTCGTGTACGTGGACGTGGACGTGGACGTGGACGTGGACGACGTGGACCTGGACGTGGACGTGGACGTGGAAGTGGACGTGGACGTGGACGTGGAAGTGGAGATGGACGTGGACGTGGACGTGGACGTGGACGTGGACATGGACGTGGACGTGGACATGGACGTGGACGTGGACATGGACGTGGACGCGTGGTCGTGGACGTGGACGTGGACGTGGATGTGGTCGTGGACTTGGTGGACGTGGACGTGGACGTGGACGTGGACGTGGACATGGACGTGGACCTGGACGTGGACGTGGACGTGGACGTGGACATGGACGTGGACATGGACGTGGACGTGGACGTGGATGTGGACATTGTCATGGACGTGGACGAAGACGTGGACGTGGACGTGGTCGTGGACGTGAACGTGGACGTGGACGTCGACGTGGACGTGGACATGGACGCGGACGTAGACGTGGATGTGGACATTGTCGTGGACCTGGACATTGTCGTGGACATGGACGTGGATGTGGTCGTGGACGTGGTCGTGGACGTGAACGTGGACATGGACGTGGACGTGGACGTGGACGTGGACGTGGACGTGGACATGGACGTGGACGTGGACGTGGACGTGGACGTGGACGTGGAATTGGACGTGGACGTGGACGTGGACGTGGACCTGGACGTGGACCTGGACGTGGACGTGGACGTGGACGTGGACCTGGACGTGGACGTGGACGTGGACGTGGACATGGACGTGGACATTGTCGTGGACGTGGACATGGACGTCGACATGGTCTTGGACGTGGACGTGGATGTGGACGTGGACGTGGATGTGGACGTGGTCGTGGTCGTGTACGTGGACGAGGACGTGGACGTGGACGTGGTCGTGGACGTGGACGAGGACGTGGACGTGGTTGTGGACGTTGATGTGGACGTGGACGTGGACGTGGACATGGACATGGACGTGGACGTGGACGTGGACGTGGACGTGGACGTGGACATGGACATGGACCTGGACGTGGACGTGGACGTGGACGTGGACGTGGACATGGACATGGACCTGGACGTGGACGTGGACGTGGACATGGACGTGGACATGGACGTGGACGTGGACGTGGACATTGTCGTGGACGTGGACGAAGACGTGGACCTGGAAGGGTCGTGGACGTGGACGTGGACGTGGACAAGGACATGGACGGGGACGTGGACGTGGACATTGTCGTGGACGTGGACATTGTCGTGGACGTGGACGTGTTCGTGGATGTGGACGTGGACGTGGACGTGGACATGGACATGGACGTGGACATGGACGTGGACGTAAACGTGGAGGACATGGACGTTGACATGGACGTGGACGTAGACGTGGACGTGGACGTGGACATGGACATGGACATGGACATGGACGTGGACGTGGACGTGGACGTGGACATGGACGTGGAGATGGACGTGGACATGGACGTGGACATGAACGTGGAGGTGGACGTGGACGTGGACATGGACGTGGACATGGACGTGGACATGGACGTGGACGTGGACGTGGACGTGGACGTGGACGTGGACATGGACGTGGACGTGGACATGGACGTGGACGTGGACGTGGACGTGGACATGGACGTGGACGTGGACGTGGACATGAACGTGGACGTGGACGTGGACGTGGACGTGGACGACTTGGACGTGGACATGGACGTGGACGTGGACGTGGACGTGGACGTAGACGTGGACATGGACGTGGACGTGGACGTGGACATGGACGTGGACGTGGACGTGGACGTGGAGGACTTGGACGTGGACATGGACATGGACGTGGTTGTGGACGTGGACGTGGACGTTGACGTCGACATGGACGTGGACGTGGACGTGGACGTGGACGTGGACATGGACGTGGACGTGGACGTGGACGTGGATAGGGAAGTGGACCTGGACGTGGACGTGGACATGGACGTGGACATGGATGTGGACATGGACATGGACGTGGACATGAATGTGGACGTGGACGTGGACGTGGACATGGACGTGGACGTGGACGTGGACGTGGATGTGGACGTGGTCGTGTACGTGGACGAGGACGTGGACGTGGACGTGGTCGTGGACGTGGACGAGGACGTGGACGTGGACGTGGTCGTGGACGTTGATGTGGACGTGGACGTGGACGTGGACATGGACATGGACGTGGACGTGGACGTGGACGTGGACGTGGACGTGGACCTGGACATGGACCTGGACGTGGACATGGACGTGGACATGGACGTGGACATGGACGTGGACGTGGACGTGGACGTGGACATTGTCGTGGACGTGGACGAAGACGTGGACCTGGAAGGGTCGTGGACGTGGACGTGGACGTGGACGTGGACATGGACGGGGACGTGGACGTGGACAATGTCGTGGACCTGGACATTGTCGTGGACGTGGACGTGGACGTGTTCGTGGACGTGGACATGGACGTGGACGTGGACATGGACATGGACGTGGACATGGACGTGGACGTGGACGTGGAGGACATGGACGTTGACATGGACGTGGACGTAGACGTGGACGTGGACGTGGACATGGACAAGGACGTGGACGTGGACGTGGACGTGGACATGGACGTGGAGATGGACGTGGACGTGGACGTGGACATGAACGTGGACCTGGACGTGGACGTGGACATGGACGTGAACATGGACGTGGACATGGACGTGGACGTGGACGTGGACATGGACGTGGACGTGGACGTGGACGTGGATGACTTGGACGTAGACATGGACGTGGACGTGGACATGGAGGTGGAGGTGGACGTGGACATGGACGTGGACGTGGACGTCGACGTTTACGTCTACGTGGACGTGGATATGGACGTGGATGTGGACGTGGACGTGGACGTGGACGTGGACGTGGAGGACTTGGACGTGGACATGGACATGGACGTGGACGTGGACGTGGACGTGGACGTTGACGTGGACATGGACGTGGACGTGGACGTGGGCGTGGACATGGACGTGGACGTGGACATGGACGTGGACGTGGACGTGGATAGGGAAGTGGACCTGGACGTGGACGTGGACATGGACGTGGACATGGATGTGGACGTAGACATGGACGTGGACGTTGACGTGGATGTGCACATGGACATTGACATGGACGTGGACGTGGACGTGGACGTGGACGTGGACATGGACGTGGACGTGGACGTGTACGTGGACGTGGACGTGGACGTGGACGTGGACGTAGACGTGGAGGACTTGGACGTGGACGTGGATGTGGACGTGGACGTGGATGTGGACGTGGACGTGGACGTGGAGGTGGACGTGGACGTGGACGTGGCTGTGGACGTGGACGTGGACGTGGAGGACTTGGACGTGGACATGGACATGGACATGGACGTGGACGTGGACGTGGACGTGGACGTTGACGTGGACATGGACGTGGACGTGGACGTGGACGTGGACATGGACATGGACGTGGACATGGACGTGGACGCGGACGTGGATAGGGAAGTGGACCTGGACGTCGACGTGGACATTGACGTGGACATGGATGTGGACGTGAACATGGAAGTGGACATGGATGTGGACGTGGACGTGGACGTGGACGTGGACATGGACGTGGACGTGGACGTGGACGTGGATGTGGACGTGAACGTGTACATAGACGTGGACGTGGACGTGGATGTGGACGTGGACATGGACGTAGACGTGGAGGACTTGGACGTGGACGTGGACGTGGATGTGGACGTGGACGTGGAGGTGGAGGTGGACGTGGACGTGGACATGGACGTGGACGTGGACGTGGACGTGGACATGGACGTGGACGTGGACGTGGACGTGGACATGGATGTGGACGTGGACATTGTCGTGGACGTGGATGTGGTCGTGGACGTGGACGTGGACGTGGGCGTGGACGTGGACGACGTGGACGTGGACGTGGACGTGGACGACGTGGACCTGGACGTGGACGTGGACGTGGACGTGGAAGTGGAGATGGACGTGGACGTGGACGTGGACGTGGACATTGTCGTGGACGTGGACGAAGACGTGGACCTGGAAGGGTCGTGGACGTGGACGTGGACGTGGACGTGGACATGGACGGGGACGTGGACGTGGACATTGTCGTGGACCTGGACATTGTCGTGGACGTGGACGTGTTCGTGGACGTGGACATGGACGTGGACGTGGACATGGACGTAGACGTGGACTTGGACGTGGACGTGGACGTGGATAGGGAAGTGGACCTGGACGTGGACGTGGACATGGACGTGGACATGGACGTGGACGTGGACATGGACGTGGACATGGATGTGGACGTGGACGTAGACGTGGACGTGGACACGGACGTGGACGTGGACGTGGAAGACTTGGACGTGGACATGGACGTGGACGTGGATGTGGACGTGGACGTCGACGTGGAGGTGGACGTGGACCATGGACATGGACGTGGACGTGGACGTGGACGTGGACATGGACGTGGACGTAGACGTGTATATGGACGTGGACGTGGATGTGGACGTAGACGTGGACGTGGACGTGGACGTAGACGTGGACATGGACGTGGACGTGGACGTGTACGTGGACGTGGACGTGGACGTGGACGTGGACATGGACGTGGACGTGGACGTGTACGTGGACGTGGACGTGGACGTGGACGTGGACGTGGACGTAGACGTGGAGGACTTGGACGTGGACGTGGACGTGGACGTGGATGTGGACGTGGACGTGGACGTGGAGGTGGACGTGGACGTGGACATGGCTGTGGACGTGGACGTGGACGTGGAGGACTTGGACGTGGACATGGACATGGACATGGTCGTAGACGTGGATGTAGACGTAGACGTGGACGTGGACGTGGACATGGACGTGGACGTGGACGTGTACGTGGACGTGGACGTGGACGTGGACGTGGACATGGACGTGGACGTGGACGTGTACGTGGACGTGGACGTGGACGTAGACGTGGAGGACTTGGACGTGGACGTGGACGTGGACGTGGACGTGGATGTGGACGTGGACGTGGACGTGGAGGTGGACGTGGACGTGGACATGGCTGTGGACGTGGACGTGGACGTGGAGGACTTGGACGTCGACATGGACATGGACATGGACGTGGACGTGGACGTGGACGTGGACGTTGACGTGGACATGGACGTGGACGTGGACGTGGACGTGGACATGGACATGGACGTGGACATGGACGTGGACGCGGACGTGGATAGGGAAGTGGACCTGGACGTGGACGTGGACATTGACGTGGACATGGATGTGGACGTGGACATGGAAGTGGACATGGATGTGGACGTGGACGTGGACGTGGACGTGGACATGGACGTGGACGTGGACGTGGACGTGGATGTGGACGTGAACGTGTACATAGACGTGGACGTGAACGTGGATGTGGACATGGACATGGACGTAGACGTGGAGGACTTGGACGTGGACGTGGACGTGGACGTGGATGTGGACGTGGACGTGGAGGTGGAGGTGGACGTGGACGTGGACGTGGACGTGGACGTGGACGTGGACGTGGACATGGACGTGGACGTGGACGTGGACGTGGACATGGATGTGGACGTGGACATTGTCGTGGACGTGGATGTGGTCGTGGACGTGGACGTGGACGTGGGCGTGGACGTGGACGACGTGGACGTGGACGTGGACGTGGACGACGTGGACCTGGACGTGGACGTGGACGTGGACGTGGACGTGGAAGTGGAGATGGACGTGGACGTGGACGTGGACGTGGACGTGGACATGGACGTGGACGTAGACATGGACGTGGACGCGTGGTTGTGGACGTGGACGTGGACGTGGACGTGGTCGTGGACGTGGACGTGGACGTGGACGTGGACGTGGACGTGGACATGGACGTGGACCTGGACGTGGACGTGGAAGTGGACGTGGACATGGACGTGGACGTGGACGTGGACGTTGATGTGGACATTGTCGTGGACGTGGACGAAGACGTGGACGTGGTCGTGGACGTGGACGTGGATGTGGACGTCGACGTGGACGTGGACATGGACGTGGACGTAGACGTGGATGTGGACATTGTCGTGGACCTGGACAATGTCGTGGACATGGACGTGGACGTGGTCGTGGACGTGGACGTGGACGTGGTCGTGGACGTGGACGTGGACGTGGACGTGGACATGGACATGGACGTGGACGTGGACATGGACGTGGACGTAGACGTGGACGTGGACGTGGACATGGACATGGACATGGACGTGGACGTTGACGTGGACGTGGACGTGGAGGACTTGGACGTGGACATGGACATGGACGTGGACGTGGACGTGGACGTTGACGTGGACATGGACGTGGACGTGGACGTGGACGTGGACATGGACGTGGACGTGGACATGGACGTGGACGTGGACGTGGATAGGGAAGTGGACCTGGACGTGGACGTGGACATGGACGTGGACATGGATGTGGACGTGGACATGGACGTGGACATGGAGGTGGACGTGGACGTGGACGTGGACGTGGACATGGACGTGGACGTGGATGTGGACATGGATGTGCACATGGACATTGACATGGACGTGGACGTGGACGTGGACGTGGACATGGACGTGGACGTGGACGTGTACGTGGACGTGGACGTGGACGTGGACGTGGATGTGGACGTGGACGTGGACCTGGAGGTGGACGTGGACGTGGACGTGGACGTGGACATGGAGGTGGACGTGGACGTGGACGTGGACGTGGACGTGGACATGGACGTGGACGTGGACATGGACGTGGACGTGGACGTGGACGTGGACATGGACCTGAACGTGGACGTGGACGTGGACATTGTCGTGGACGTGAACGTGGACGTGGACGTGGACGTGGTCGTGTACGTGGACGTGGACGTGGACGTGGACGTGGACGACGTGGACCTGGACGTGGACGTGGACGTGGAAGTGGACGTGGACGTGGACGTGGAAGTGGAGATGGACGTGGACGTGGACGTGGACGTGGACGTGGACATGGACGTGGACGTGGACATGGACGTGGACGTGGACATGGACGTGGACGCGTGGTCGTGGACGTGGACGTGGACGTGGATGTGGTCGTGGACTTGGACGTGGACGTGGACGTGGACGTGGACGTGGACATGGACGTGGACCTGGACGTGGACGTGGACGTGGACGTGGACATGGACGTGGACATGGACGTGGACGTGGACGTGGATGTGGTCGTGGACGTGAACGTGGACGTGGACGTCGACGTGGACGTGGACATGGACGCGGACGTAGACGTGGATGTGGACATTGTCGTGGACCTGGACATTGTCGTGGACATGGACGTGGATGTGGTCGTGGACGTGGTCGTGGACGTGGACGTGGACGTGGACGTGGACGTGGACATGGACATGGACGTGGACGTGGACATGGACGTGGACGTAGACGAGGACGTGGACGTGGACATGGACATGGACATGGACGTGGACGTGGACATGGACATGGACATGGACGTGGACGTAGACGTGGACGTGGACATAGACATGGACGTGGACGTGGACGTGGACATGGACGTGGAGATGGACGTGGACGTGGACGTGGACATGAACGTGGACATGGACGTGTAAATGGACGTGGACGTGGTCGTGGACGTGGACATGGACGTGGACATGGACGTGGACGTGGACGTGGACATGAACGTGGACGTGGACGTGGACATGAACGTGAACATGGACGTGGACATGGACGTGGACGTGGACGTGGACGTGGACGTGGACCTGGATGTGGACGTGGACATGGAGATGGACGAGGACGTGGACGTGGACGTGGACGTGGACATGGATGTGGAGGTGGACTTGGACGTGGACATGGACGTGAACGTGGACGTGGACGTGGACGTGGACGTGGACGTGGACGTGGACGTGGACGTGGTCGTGGACGTGGACGTGGACATGGACGTGGACGTGGACTTGGACGTGGACGTGGACGTGGACATGGAGGTGGACGTGGACGTAGAGGTGGAGGACTTGAACGTGGACTGGACGTGGACGTGGACGTGGACGAGGACGTGGACGTGGACATGGACCTGGACGTGGACGTAGACGTGGACGTGGACGTGGCCATGGACGTGGACGTGGACGTGGCCATGGACGTGGACGTGGACGTGGACGTGGAGGTGGACGTGGACGTGGACGTGGACATGGAGGTGGACGTGGACGTGGACATGGACGTGGACATGGACGTGGACGTGACGTGGACGTGGACATGGACGTGGACGTGGACGTGGAGGTGGAAGTGGACGTGGACGTGGAGGTGGAAGTGGACGTGGACATGGACGTGGACGTGGACGTGGACGTGGACATTGTCGTGGACGTCGACGTGGACGTGGACGTGGACGTGGTCGTGGACGTGGACGTAGACGTGGACGTGGACGACGTGGACCTGGACGTGGACGTGGACGTGGACGTGGAGATGGACGTGGACGTGGACGTGGACGTGGACATGGACGTGGATGTGGACGTAGACGTGGACGTGGACATGGACGTGAACGTAGAAGTGGACATGGACGTTGACGTGGACATGGACGTGGACGTGGAGGACTTGGACATGGACATGGACATGGACGTGGACGTGGACGTGGACGTTGACGTGGACATGGACGAGGACCTGGACGTGGACATGGACGTGGACGTGGATATGGACGTGGACGTGGACGTGGATAGGGAAGTGGACCTGGACGTGGACGTGGACATGGACGTGGACATGGATGTGGACGTGGACATGGATGTGGACATGGATGTGGATGTGGACGTGGACGTGTACGTGGACGTGGACGTCGACGTGGACGTGGACGTGGATGTGGACGTGGACGTGTATATAGACGTGGACGTGGACGTGGATGTGGACGTGGACATGGACGTAGACGTGGAGGACTTGGACGTGGCATGGACGTGGACGTGGATGTGGACGTGGACGTGGACGTGGAGGTGGACGTGGACGTGGACGTGGACGTGGACATGGACGTGGACGTGGATGTAGACGTGGACATGGACGTGAACGTGGACGTGGACGTGGACATTGTCGTGGACGTGGACGTGGACGTGGACGTGGACGTGGACGTGGTCGTGTACGTGGACATGGACGTGGACGTGGACGACGTGGACCTGGATGTGGACGTGGACGTGGACGTGGACGTGGACGTGGACGTGGAAGTGGAGATGGACGTGGACGTGGACGTGGACGTGGACATGGACGTGGACATGGACGTGGACATGGACGAGGACGCGTGGTCATGGACGTGGACGTGGACGTGGTCGTGGACTTGGACGTGGACGTGGACGTGGACGTGGACATGGACGTGGACCAGGACGTGTACGTGGACGTGGACGTGGACATGGACGTGGACATGGACGTGGACGTGGACGTGGATGTGGACATTGTCGTGGACGTGGACGAAGACGTGGACGTGGACGTGGTCGTGGACGTGGACGTGGACGTCGACGTGGACGTGGACGTGGACGTGGACGTAGACGTGGATGTGGACATTGTCGTGGACCTGGACATTGTCGTGGACATGGACGTGGACGTGGTCGTGGACGTGGACGTGGTCGTGGACGTGGACGTGGACGTGGACGTGGACATGGACATGGACGTGGACGTGGACATGGACGTGGACGTAGACGTGGACGTGGACGTGGACATTGACATGGACATGGACGTGGACGTGGACATGGACATGGACATGCACGTGGACGTAGACGTGGACGTGGACATGGACATGGACATGGACGTGGACGTGGACATGGACGTGGAGATGGACGTGGACGTGGACGTGGACATGAACGTGGACGTGGACGTGGACATGGACGTGGACGTGGTCGTGGACGTGGACGTGGACGTGGACATGGACGTGGACGTGGACGTGGACATGAACGTGGACGTGGACGTGGACATGAACGTGAACATGGACGTGGACGTGGACGTGGACGTGGACATGGACGGGGACGTGGACATGGAGGTGGATGAGGACGTGGACGTGGACGTGGACGTGGACGTGGACGTGGACGTGGACATGGACGTGGACGTGGACGTGGACATGGACGTGAACGTGGACGTGGACGTGGACGTGGACCTGGACCTGGACGTGGACGTGGACGTGGTCGTGGACGTGGACGTAGACATGGATGTGGACGTGGACTTGGACGTGGACGTGGACGTGGACGTGGACGTGGTTGTGGACGTGGACGTGGACATGGACGTGGATTTGGACATAGAGATGGAGGACTTGAATGTGGACTGGACGTCGACGTGGACGTGGACGAGGACGTGGACGTGGACATGGACCTGGACGTGGACGTGGACGTGGACGTGGCCATGGACGTGGACGTGGACGTGGACGTTGATGTGGACATTGTCGTGGACGTGGACGAAGACGTGGACGTGGTCGTGGACGTGGACGTGGATGTGGACATGGACGTGGACGTGGACGTGGACGTTGAGGTGGAAGTGGACGTGGACATGGACGTGGACGTGGACGTAGACATTGTCGTGGACGTCGACGTGGACGTGGACGTGGACGTGGTCGTAGACGTGTATCTGGACGTGGACGTGGACGTGGACGTGGACGTGGACGTGGACCTTCTCGTGGACGTGGACGTGGACGTGGACGTGGACGTGGTCGTGGACGTGGACGTGGACGTGGACGTGGACGTAAATGTGGACGACGTGGACGTGGACGTGGTCGTGGACGTGGACGTGGAGATGGATGTGGACGTGGACGTGGACGTGGACGTCGACGTGGACGTGGACGTGGAGATGGACGTGGACTTGGACGTGGACGTGGACGTGGATAGGGAAGTGGACCTGGACGTGGACGTGGACATGGACGTGGACATGGACGTGGACGTGGACATGGACGTGGACATTGATGTGGACGTGGACGTAGACGTGGACGTGGACACGGACGTGGACGTGGACGTGGAAGACTTGGACGTGGACATGGACGTGGACGTGGATGTGGACGTGGACGTCACCGTGGAGGTGGACGTGGACCATGGACATGGACGTGGACGTGGACGTGGACATGGACGTGGACGTAGACGTGTATATGGACGTGGACGTGGATGTGGACGTAGACGTGGACGTGGACGTGGACGTCGACGTGGACGTAGACGTGGAGGACTAGGACGTGGACGTGGACGTCGACGTGGACGTGGACGTGGGCGTGGATGTGGACGTGGAGGTGGAGGTGGACGTGGACGTGGACGTGGACGTGGACGTGGAGGTGGACGTGGACGTGGACGTGGACGTGGACATGGAAGTGGACATGGACGTGGACGTGGACGTGATCGTGGACGTGGACGTGGACGTGGTCGTGGACGTGGACGTGGACATGGACGTGGACGTGGACGTGGATGTGGACATGGACATGGACCTGGACGTGGACGTGGACGTGGAGGTGGACGTGGACGTGGACGTGGACGACGTGGACCTGGACGTGGACGTGGACGTGGACGTGGATGTGGACGTGGAGGTGGACGTGGACGTGGACGTGGACGTGGACGTGGACATGGACGTGGACGTGGACGTGGACATGGACGTGAACGTGGACATGGTTGTGGACGTGGACATGGACGTGGACATGGACGTGGACGTGGACGTGGACGTGGGGACATAGACGTGAACGTGGACGTGGACGTGGAAGTGGACGTGGACATGGACGTGGACGTGGACGTGGAGGACTTGGACGTGGACATGGACGTGGATGTGGACGTGGACGTGGACATGGACGTGGACATGGACGTGGACGTGGACGTGGACGTGAACGTGGACGTGGACATGGACGTGGACGTGGACGTGGACGTGGACGTGGACGTGGACCTGGACGTGGACGTGGACGTGGACGTGGTTGTGGACGTGGACGTGGACATGGACGTGGACGTGGACGTAGAGGTGGAGGACTTGAACGTGGACTGGACGTGGACGTGAACGTGGACATGGACCTGGACGTGGACGTGGACGTGGATGTGGACGTGGACGTGGACGTGGTCGTGGACGTGGACGTGGACGTGGACATGGACGTGGACGTGGACGTGGACGTGGACGTGGTTGTGGACAAGGACGTGGACATGGACGTGGACGTGGACGTAGAGATGGAGGACTTGAACTTCGACTGGACGTGTACGTGGACGTGGACGTGAACGTAGACATGGACGTGGACGTGGACGTGGACGTGGACATGGACATGGACGTGGACGTGGACATGGACGGGGACGTGGACGTCGAAGTGGACGTGGACATGAAGATGGACGTGGACGTGGACATGGACGTGGACGTGGACGTGGACATGGACATGGATGTGGACATGGACGTGGACGTGGACGTGGACGTGGACGTGGAGGTGGACGTGGACGTGGACATGGACGTGGACGTGGACGTGGACGTGGACGTGGACATTGTCATGGACGTCGACATGGACATGGACGTGGAGGTGGTCGTGGACGTTGACATGGACGTGGACGTGGACATGGAGGTGGACGAGGACGTGGACGTGGATGTGGACGTGGATGTGGACGTGGACATGGATGTGGACGTGGACGTGGACATGGACGTGAACGTGGACGTGGACGTGGACGTGGACGTGGACGTGGACATGAACGTGGAAGTGGACGTGGACATGAACGTGAACATGGACGTGGACATGGACGTGGACGTGGATGTGGACGTGGACGTGGACCTGGACGTGGACGTGGACATGGAGGTGGACGAGGACGTGGACGTGGACGTGGACGTGGACGTGAACGTGGACGTGGACGTGGATGTGGACGTGGACGTGGACGTGGACGTGGACGTAGTCGTGGACATGGACGTGGACATGGATGTGGACGTGGACTTGGACGTGGACGTCGACGTGGTTGTGGACGTGGACGTGGACATGGAGGTGGACATGGACGTAGAGGTGGACATGGATGTGGTCGTGGACTGGACGTGGACGTGGACGTGGACGTGGTTGTGGACGTGGACGTGGACATGGACGTGGATTTGGACATAGAGATGGAGGACTTGAACGTGGACTGGACGTCGACGTGGACGTGGACGAGGACGTGGACGTGGACATGGACCTGGACGTGGACGTGGACGTGGACGTGGCCATGGACGTGAACGTGGACGTGGACATGGACGTGGACGTGGACGTGGACGTGGACATGGACGTGGACGTGGACGTGGACATGGAGGTGGACGTGGACGTGGACATGGACGTGGACGTGGACGTGGACGTGGACGTGGACAGGGACGTGGACATGGACGTGGACGTTGAGGTGGAAGTGGACGTGGACATGGACGTGGACGTGGACGTAGACATTGTCGTGGACGTCGACGTGGACGTGGACGTGGACGTGGTCGTAGACGTGGATGTAGACGTAGACGTGGACGTGGACGTGGACATGGACGTGGACGTGGACGTGTACGTGGACGTGGACGTGGACGTGGACGTGGACATGGACGTGGACGTGGACGTGTACGTGGACGTGGACGTGGACGTGGACGTGGACGTAGACGTGGAGGACTTGGACGTGGACGTGGACGTGGACGTGGACGTGGATGTGGACGTGGACGTGGACGTGGAGGTGGACGTGGACGTGGACATGGCTGTGGACGTGGACGTGGACGTGGAGGACTTGGACGTGGACATGGACATGGACATGGACGTGGACGTGGACGTGGACGTGGACGTTGACGTGGACATGGACGTGGACGTGGACGTGGACGTGGACATGGACATGGACGTGGACATGGACGTGGACGCGGACGTGGATAGGGAAGTGGACCTGGACGTGGACGTGGACATTGACGTGGACATGGATGTGGACGTGGACATGGAAGTGGACATGGATGTGGACGTGGACGTGGACGTGGACGTGGACATGGACGTGGACGTGGACGTGGACGTGGATGTGGACGTGAACGTGTACATAGACGTGGACATGGACGTAGACGTGGAGGACTTGGACGTGGACGTGGACGTGGACGTGGATGTGGACGTGGACGTGGAGGTGGACGTGGACGTGGACGTGGACGTGGACGTGGACGTGGACGTGGACGTGGACATGGACGTGGACGTGGACGTGGACATCGACGTGGACGTGGACATTGTCGTGGACGTGGATGTGGTCGTGGACGTGGACGTGGACGTGGGCGTGGACGTGGAGGACGTGGACGTGGACGTGGACGTGGACGACGTGGACCTGGACGTGGACGTGGACGTGGACGTGGAAGTGGAGATGGACGTGGACGTGGACGTGGACGTGGACGTGGACATGGACGTGGACGTGGACATGGACGTGGACGCGTGGTTGTGGACGTGGACGTGGACGTGGACGTGGTCGTGGACTTGGACGTGGACGTGGACGTGGACGTGGACATGGACGTGGACCTGGACGTGGACGTGGAAGTGGACGTGGACATGGACGTGGACGTGGACGTGGACGTTGATGTGGACATTGTCGTGGACGTGGACGAAGACGTGGACGTGGTCGTGGACGTGGACGTGGATGTGGACGTCGACGTGGACGTGGACATGGACGTGGACGTAGACGTGGATGTGGACATTGTCGTGGACCTGGACATTGTCGTGGACATGGACGTGGACGTGGTCGTGGACGTGGACGTGGTCGTGGACGTGGACGTGGACGTGGACGTGGACATGGACATGGACGTGGACGTGGACATGGACGTGGACGTAGACGTGGACGTGGACGTGGACATGGACATGGACATGGACGTGGACGTTGACGTGGACGTGGACGTGGAGGACTTGGACGTGGACATGGACATGGACGTGGACGTGGACGTGGACGTTGACGTGGACATGGACGTGGACGTGGACGTGGACGTGGACATGGACGTGGACGTGGACATGGACGTGGACGTGGACGTGGATAGGGAACTGGACCTGGACGTGGACGTGGACATGGACGTGGACATGGATGTGGACGTGGACATGGACGTGGACATGGATGTGGACGTGGACGTGGACGTGGACGTGGACATGGACGTGGACGTGGATGTGGACATGGATGTGCACATGGACATTGACATGGACGTGGACGATGACGTGGACGTGGACGTGGACATGGACGTGGACGTGGACGTGTACGTGGACGTGGACGTGGACGTGGACATGGATGTGGACGTGGACGTGGACATGGAGGTGGACGTGGACGTGGACGTGGACATGGAGGTGGACGTGGACGTGGACGTGGACGTGGACATGGACGTGGACGTGGACATGGACGTGGACGTGGACGTATGGACCGTGAACGTGGACGTGGACGTGGACATTGTCGTGGACGTGGACGTGGACGTGGACGTGGACGTGGTCGTGTACGTGGACGTGGACGTGGACGTGGACGTGGACGTGGACGACGTGGACCTGGACGTGGACGTGGACGTGGAAGTGGACGTGGACGTGGACGTGGACGTGGAAGTGGAGATGGACGTGGACGTGGACGTGGAGGTGGACGTGGACGTGGACATGGACGTGGATGTGGACATGGACGTGGACGTGGACATGGACGTGGACGCGTGGTCGTGGACGTGGACGTGGACGTGGATGTGGTCGTGGACTTGGACGTGGACGTGGACGTGGACGTGGACGTGGACGTGGACATGACGTGGACCTGGACGTGGACGTGGACGTGGACGTGGACATGGACGTGGACATGGACGTGGACGTGGACGTGGATGTGGACATTGTCATGGACGTGGACGAAGACGTGGACGTGGACGTGGTCGTGGACGTGAACGTGGACGTGGACGTCGACGTGGACGTGGACATGGACGCGGACGTAGACGTGGATGTGGACATTGTCGTGGACCTGGACATTGTCGTGGACATGGACGTGGAAGTGGTCGTGGACGTGGTCGTGGACGTGGACGTGGACGTGGACGTGGACGTGGACATGGACATGGACGTGGACGTGGACGTGGACATGGACGTGGACGTAGACGAGGATGTGGACGTGGACATGGACATGGACATGGACGTGGACGTGGACATGGACATGGACATGGACGTGGACGTAGACGTGGACGTGGACATAGACATGGACGTGGACGTGGACGTGGACATGGACGTGGAGATGGACGTGGACGTGGACGTGGACATGAACGTGGACATGGACGTGTAAATGGACGTGGACGTGGTCGTGGACGTGGACATGGACGTGGACATGGACGTGGACGTGGATGTGGACATGAACGTGGACGTGGACGTGGACATGAACGTGAACATGGACGTGGACATGGACGTCGACGTGGACGTGGACGTGGACGTGGACCTGGATGTGGACGTGGACATGGAGGTGGACGAGGACGTGGACGTGGACGTGGACGTGGACGTGGACGTGGACATGGATGTGGATGTGGACTTGGACGTGGACATGGACGTGAACGTGGACGTGGACGTGGACGTGGACGTGGACGTGGACGTGGTCGTGGACGTGGACATGGACGTGGACGTGGACTTGGACGTGGACGTGGACGTGGACATGGAGGTGGACGTGGACGTAGAGGTGGAGGACTTGAACGTGGACTGGACGTGGACGTGGACGTGGACAAGGACGTGGACGTGGACATGGACCTGGACGTGGACGTAGACGTGGACGTGGACGTGGCCATGGACGTGGACGTGGACGTGGCCATGGACGTGGACGTGGACGTGGACGTGGAGGTGGACGTGGACGTGGACGTGGACGTGGACATGGAGGTGGACGTGGACGTGGACATGGACATGGACATGGACGTGGACGTGGACGTGGACGTGGACATGGACGTGGACGTGGACGTGGAGGTGGAAGTGGACGTGGACGTGGACGTGGAGGTGGAAGTGGACGTGGACATGGACGTGGACGTGGACGTGGACGTGGACATTGTCGTGGACGTCGACGTGGACGTGGACGTGGTCGTGGACGTGGACGTAGACGTGGACGTGGACGTGGACGACGTGGACCTAGACGTGGACGTGGACGTGGACGTGGAGATGGACGTGGACGTGGACGTGGACGTGGACATGGACGTGGATGTGGACGTAGACGTGGACGTGGACATGGACGTGAACGTAGAAGTGGACATGGACGTTGACGTGGACATGGATGTGGACGTGGAGGACTTGGACATGGACATGGACATGGACGTGGACGTGGACGTGGACGTTGACGTGGACATGGACGAGGACCTGGACGTGGACATGGACGTGGACGTGGACATGGACGTGGACGTGGACGTGGATAGGGAAGTGGACCTGGACGTGGACGTGGACATGGACGTGGACATGGATGTGGACGTGGACATGGATGTGGACATGGATGTGGATGTGGACGTGGACGTGTACGTGGACGTGGACGTCGACGTGGACGTGGACGTGGATGTGGACGTGGACGTGTATATAGACGTGGACGTGGACGTGGATGTGGACGTGGACATGGACGTAGACGTGGAGGACTTGGACGTGGCATGGACGTGGACGTGGATGTGGACGTGGACGTGGACGTGGAGGTGGACGTGGACGTGGACGTGGACGTGGACATGGACGTGGACGTGGACGTGGACGTGGACATGGACGTGAACGTGGACGTGGACGTGGACATTGTCGTGGACGTGGACCTGGACGTGGACGTGGACGTGGTCGTGTACGTGGACATGGACGTGGACGTGGACGACGTGGACCTGGACGTGGACGTGGACGTGGACGTGGACGTGGATGTGGACGTGGACGTGGACGTGGAAGTGGAGATGGACGTGGACGTGGACGTGGACGTGGACATGGACGTGGACGTGACATGGACGTGGACGTGGACATGGACGAGGACGCGTGGTCATGGACGTGGACATGGACGTGGACGTGGTCGTGGACTTGGACGTGGACGTGGACGTGGACGTGGACGTGGACATGGACGTGGACCAGGACGTGTACGTGGACGTGGACGTGGACATGGACGTGGACATGGACGTGGACGTGGACGTGGATGTGGACATTGTCGTGGACGTGGACGAAGACGTGGACGTGGACGTGGTCGTGGACGTGGACGTGGACGTCGACGTGGACGTGGACATGGACGTGGACGTAGACGTGGATGTGGACATTGTCGTGGACCTGGACATTGTCGTGGACATGGACGTGGACGTGGTCGTGGACGTGGACGTGGTCGTGGACGTGGACGTGGACGTGGACGTGGACATAGACATGGACGTGGACGTGGACGTGGACGTAGACGTGGACGTGGACGTGGACATTGACATGGACATGGACGTGGACGTGGACATGGACATGGACATTGCACGTGGACGTAGACGTGGACGTGGACATGGACATGGACATGGACGTGGACGTGGGATATGGACGTGGAGATGGACGTGGACGTGGACGTGGACATGAACGTGGACGTGGACGTGGACATGGACGTGGACGTGGTCGTGGACGTGGACGTGGACGTGGACATGGACGTGGACGTGGACGTGGACATGAACGTGGACGTGGACGTGGACATGAACGTGAACATGGACGTGGACGTGGACGTGGACGTGGACATGGACGGGGACGTGGACATGGAGGTGGATGAGGACGTGGACGTGGACGTGGACGTGGACGTGGACGTGGACGTGGACGTGGACGTGGACGTGGACATGGACGTGGACGTGGACGTGGACATGGACGTGAACGAGGACGTGGACGTGGACGTGGACCTGGACGTGGACGTGGACGTGGTCGTGGACGTGGACGTAGACATGGATGTGGACGTGGACTTGGACGTGGACGTGGAACGTGGACGTGGTTGTGGACGTGGACGTGGACATGGACGGGATTTGGACATAGAGATGGAGGACTTGAAATGTGGACTGGACGTCGACGTGGACGTGGACGAGGACGTGGACGTGGACATGGACCTGGACGTGGACGTGGACATGGACGTGGCCATGGACGTGGACGTGGACGTGGACATGGACATGGACGTGGACGTGACGTGGACGTGGACGTGGACGTGGACGTGGACGTGGACGTGGACATGGAGGTGGACGTGGACGTGGACATGGACGTGGACGTGGACGTGGACGTGGACGTGACATGGACGTGACGTGGACGTGGACGTGGACGTGGAAGTGGACGTGGACATGGACGTGGACGTGGACGTGGACATTGTCGTGGACGTGGACGTGGACGTGGACGTGGACGTGGACGTGGGACGTGGACGTGGACGTGGGGACATAGACGTGGACGTGGACGTGGACGTGGACGTGGACGTGGAGATGGACGTGGACGTGGACGTGGA